TGTTATTGGTCGAATACCTCAAGCGTGTGACGGAAATGTTACGCCCCTTGCCATATTGTGATGCCTTGTCCTGGCCGGAGTGACGAGACAAAAACATTAAAACCCATTATAAACGAGGCATTTGTTGCGTCCAGTGGGGACATAATTACGGATTATAATGACTTATACTGTCTTTTTACGCGTTGCATTGCATCGCGCCGCGTAAAAATAAAACCATGTCTGCATTTGTGATCGGAGAAATGACAAACTACAAACGCTACTATACACTGCTCAAAACTCGCGTTTGAATCGTCAGTGGCAAATTCTTTAAATATAAAAACTAGGGGTGGAACGGTTCGCGGAAAAAAATCTAACTGTACGGTTCTCCGCACACGGTTCGGCACGCGCTAGGACCGCGGTTCAACTTAAATCTGACAACGCATCTGTAATATGGTTTGCTATAAATAACACGTAAAACAAACAGAGTTCGGCTAATATATGAAAACATGGACAAACCATTCACTCTTGTTCAATGCGAATGCCGTATGCTGGAATATGAGCATTTATTCCGTCATCACCCGAGTGCTGATAGCGCGCGCGCACAGGTGAGACCTGAACAGGACACACTGAGATCTGTGTTTAAGCTAAACTCGTTTAAGCTTTGCCAGTTTAAACATTTAAGAGACCGCCTCAGCCAGAGGACGCGAGCTTGCGCGCGCAGTGAGAAGATCTGTGCGTGTGTTCATCCGAAGCGCGCAAACCCGCGCCTCAGAACGCGCAAATATTAATCTCTCTCTGAAATATTGTGTTTAAATGGACAAATTCACACAAAAATTATGTCAAAATGCCCGTCTTGGTAAGAATCCTATAGCAGACAGCCGGCTGAATGTACTGTATCAGTGCACTGGATCAGTGCATTCTCTTAAAGTGGCAGCACTTTCTTAATATTAATCAAACAGCAACAACAAAGAAATCACTCATACCGAAACCGTGACTCTAAAACCGTGATACGAACAGAACCGTGAGTAAGTTGAACCGTTCCACCCCTAATAAAAACGTACTTACAGTCTGTGAGTCAGAACGGCTGGCATTGTAGTCTACTCTCCCAGGATCAGGAAACAGTCCTCCATAAAATGCGCTGGACACATCGGAATGTTTGGGTTAAACTGTTCTGGAACAGTGTTGTAAATACAACTTAACCACTGATTTCTAGTTGTGTCCTCCTTCTTTCTTTGCGTGAACATTTGGGCGGCGTTATGCAAATCTTCCCACATCGTGACGTAGACATGTGTGGGCGTGTTAGAACGAGCCGTTTTAGGTAGGCGTGGTTGACTCTTTACTTTTATAAAGAATACCTCTTTGGATTTGAGACTTTAGTCTTTGCAACTTTACAGATCCTCTTTATGCACCAAGAGCTTGTAACACTCCAAAGAGAAAGGAAAAATTTTAATCCCATCATATGACCCCTTTAAAATGTAAGTCAAAAATAAGCAGTTAAGCAATGTGTACATAAAAAAAAGATATTTTGTTTTATTTGCACATCACTAATAATAATGCCTTATAAATAGGGTGTTTTTGAAAATGACATTAAAAAATGCATTAAAAACATCAGGTTCTAAAAATAGCAATAAAAAAGTTTGCTTTCTTTCTTGTATATTTCTCATAAGTTTCTCCTATTTCTTTCTGTTTGTATTCTCTTTATAAAAAACAATCATCTTTCTGTGGGTTGCAGGCAAGAATGGATCACTTTGAGAAGTTTAGAGTAAACTTGTGCACATCTCTAGTATGCCCAGAGTGACTTGCTGAACAAGTATGACTTCTCCACTGCTTATGCTGTCTCCGTAATGATAGAATGAACCCTTGGTCTGAATATTTATCAGTGTTTATCTAGACCAGGTCTCTCTGTTGGCTCTGGTGTTCATGACGGCTCACAGCTCTATAAACAGACTGGAGCGGGCACTTGACTGAGGTCGCTGGATGCGGCGGGAATGTGCGACCAGGACCAGCTGCATTAGTGCTGATGAGTGGAGCTGGACTGCGTGGAGGAGCTTTAAAGCACAAATATTGACTTGTTGCGGTGCTGGGCTGCAGGTTGCAATAGACTTCAGCATCAGTAAAGAGACCCTCTCACATCCTGAGTGCTGAAAGTGAATTGATTTGGAGCTGGACAGATTGTGTCCATGAAAGAGAGACCAAGCATAAGGGGGCATTTTGCACAGTACACAATGTTTGTTTCTTAAGATCTTGGAGATCTTTTGCATAAATGCATGAAATTTGGTTTGTAGATTAATATAAAGTATGCATTTATTGTGCATGCTTTTCTTCATAAAACTAACATTTGAATTAAGACACGCTTGAGACATTAAGCATAGGTTGGATCAAATAGTGAAGGAAAAGCAGCAACAAGTGGGCATTTGTGTACATTTGTAGTACAGAGGCTCTTCCCTTGCCACTGTCACCTTTATCTTATTTAATGGAGTTTGTAGGACATTGTTCTCTGTAAAACTGCTGAGAGCCATGTTTATTGTGAAAACTGCAGCACAAATCAAATTTACATGATTTGAAAATATTTATATCCATATTTATGCATCTAAGATGACTAAAACGCAGTCAACTAGACAAAATAATACAAAATTTTCAAATAATATTTAAATAATTTTCTTTAGTATAATGACAGTATAGAAGCGAGTTAATTTCTTTTTAAACAAAATGTTGACTCTGTATCACACTTCATTTTTTTTTCTCACAGTGACCCGCCTAATGTTTTTCTCACACAGTATAAATTGGTTGTTATGCGTGAAAATATGTAGCTGTCTTTTACATTTATTGAATGGGGTTCATTGCAATGAGGTTATCATATTTTGGGGTCCTTGGCATCCAACCATTTTCTAAACTGCTGAATTAAGAGACAACACTTCTCTGAGAGGGGTTGTCAGTGCTGACTGTTAGCACACTAAATTATTAGCACAATAAAATTCTTCTCCCAGAAGTTGCGTCTCAATTATTTGAAACATGTCTTTTCCTTTTGAAACACCACAATATAGAAAGTAATTCAGTTTTAAATTGTACAACTGTGCAGAAGGTATTTCAGAAAAAAACATCTGCTAAAATGACTAGTTGATTCAATTTGTTTTTGTTTTTTTTTGTAGAAAATGCGGAGCCTACTGAACTCAAACACCTCTTTGAGCAGAATTACTCCCACATCTACTATGTGTTCTTTGAAAACTTCGTCACCATCGAGGTTAACCTGAAACAGAAAGGTAAGACCAGCAGCGCTTCATTTTATCTCTCACCCACTGTCTCATGAGAATGTTCTCTGCACTGTTGTTTGATAGTTTAATGTTTTTCAGGTTTCAATTACGTTGTTTTTCAGCTGGCCTACTCATTGTGTGCTCTCAGCAAACACACAGTCATAAGTCACAGTGTTAATGAGCAAGTTTCCATGAAATGGCTTATGACGAAAATTAGCCAGCCCCCAGTTAGCCAGGGCTCATTATAGTGCACAGGAGAGCGCAGCCAGTGTCTCGGAACACTGCACAGTTGCTCATTGAGTATTCAGAGAGCTGCTCACTGCCTTTGACCTCTCATTTGATGTCTTAGCATTTCGTCTTGTTCTGCTGCAAATACGGTTCATATTGTTGTCCTTGCTCGGTACAAACAGTTGTCGCAGGTTTCCCCCCCCACGTGCTTTCTTTATAATTTCATTTTTTTAGGTAGTTTGCCTTTATTTTATAGGACACTCAAGTGTGGACAGGAAATAAATGGTGAGAGAGGTGGAATGGGATCGGGACTTGATCAGCTTTGACTTTTGCCATTTACTTAATATGCAGTCTTACTCTTTGTGCCAATAAAAACAGATATGTTATTATTCAGGTAGTTGGCTAGAAACATTGACAGTTTAAGTTTATCTAACTTGTTCAGCAAGACTTTTTTCAGTCTGTTGTACCACCTTTAGAGTAGCTGAGCTGAATGAGAAAAATGACTGCAGGAGGACATAGATTGCACTGACAACTAGGGATGTAACGATTCACTCAACTCACGATTCGATTCACGATTTTGATTTCACAATTCGATTTTCTCACGATTTTTTTTTTAACAAAATGGGATTGAATACGTTATACAGTAAATGAAAAGGTGTTGTTTTATTAGGCTATTGCTGCACATTTCTTTGTGAAATTGAAATATAACAAAACTAAATTGAAATTTTAAAACAAACCCCAAATCAAACAAGTAGCCTAACCATGCGTTCACATCGCTGCCGTCGAGAGCATCAAAGTGGCCGGAAGTCATTCATTTTCAATGTGAGCCGGCGTCGAGCAGTGGCGCGGCACGTCTTGGACGTTGAGGGTGTCGAGGAGAGTTGAAATCAGGTCAGCTTTATGGTAATGAGCTATGACGCGGTTCGGCGGCAACCAATCGGAACGTAGAAGTCCACCGCTTGAGAGGATTCCAGAGAACGCAGTCCTGTAAACTTGGTTCCGACCACATTAGTTCCCAAGCAAAATGGAGGAGAGGTTGATTATTGCTGTGGCGGGTTTCCCAATAATATACGACGTGTCCCTGTTTGCGTACAGGGACATAAATAAAAAAAAAATGATGCGTGGACCAAGGTGTCTGAGATTGTTGGTGTTCCTGGTGAGTTGCTGATGTGCATTAACGTTATAGGAATGATAATCTAATGATATAATAAATAATAGTATAATAGTCCCAGTTCACTTTTAAACCTTTAAATAAATTTTCCTGATTATACTTTATTATACATTAAGTAATGTTTATACCAGATTATACTTACTTAAGTGACTTTTACTTGTATCAGAGTATTTTTACAGTGTGGTATTAGTGCTTTATACATTATTAGGTAAAGGATCTTAATACTTCGTCAACAACAATATTTAATGAGGTTAACTTATAACGTTACCCTCCTTGTGGTCAGTCTGCACAAGATCAACAAGCTTGTTTGCTTTGCGACCCCTTTAAATACAAGATAAGCATTCGATCTACGTCGAGAGCATCCACGAATCTTTCTACAGCGTTGTTGGCAGGGCGGCCAGAGCGATTTTTGACACTCTCGACGGCGGTGGTGTGAACGCACAGTAAGTTGCACGAAAGAAATCTCTTAATATGAGCAAACTAAGGATTTGTTTGTGCTCTTTCCATTTAAAATTAGAGGCAACCACTGGATTTTAATCATGATCCATACAAAGATGCTGCATACATGTAGCATAAGTAGTTTTTAATCTAAATTAGACTGTATAATTTCTAAATTTGAAGCAAAAACAGAATGGTCTGACTGATGAAAAGAAAATACCACGTAACCTTTTCTAAAGATAGTCAGTTCCCCTCAGAGATAACTCCTACTCCAATTGTATCGCGATTTGTTTGGCACCTCATCCGATTTGAATCATCACATATTTGAATCGATTTTCGACCGGCTCGCGGTAAATCGTTACATCCCTACTGACAACATTTGCACTGCATTATAAATTAATTAGTGGTGCTTGCAAAGCGAAGCATCACTATATCTCACTTGTCTTATATTATTATATTATTATAGATTCCGGACAAACTTCGGCACGTAACTCGTCCCGCACTGTTTGTCACAGACCCATGAAAGAGTCATACAATTGTGTGGCTTATTGAGGAGAGGTGTGCTATGACATTTGTAAGCGATCGGGTGTACGATGTTCGCACAGGAGGCAAAAGATCCCATAGACTTTGCATTGCGGCCAAATTTGACGGGTCGTAGTACAGAGAAAGGATTTTGTAGAAACATGTGACTCACCACATTTGAAGAGACTGTCAAGCTGTACAAGACCATACTTCCCAATGGGGCATACGTTGTACCCCTGGGGTGCAAGAGCCCCCCAAAGTCACCCCATAGACGTGCTATGGTGAAGGAACTGAGCACACGTGTTTTTCCCACTATGGTGGATCACAATGTCAAAGAGACATGGGGGTGAGCTCATTTTACTCAGGCAACCAATCAGTCTTTCAGGATCACTGTGAAGTTATCAAGCCATGCCCTAGCAACTATTTAGAGCACCCTAGCAACTGATCCCATAGACTGCCATTATAAAAGGACCAGATGGATATCTATGGATCACAGTGTCATAGGGACATGGGGGTGGACTTGTTTGACTCAGGGCAATAAATAGCAATCACTAATTACCTTCACCACTTCCTAGCCACACCCTAGCAACTATTGTTGAGTACCCTAAAGAGGGATATCTTCAAATCTGAATGTCATAGAGACATGGGGGTTTGTTTATATCATTCATACTTGCAAGCAGCCTCATCATTGGTAGCTGCCAAGCCACTCCCTAACAACCAAACAGAGTACCCTAGCAACCATTTAGCAAGACCTATATCTCTGCATCAGAACATCGTATATACATGGGGCTTGGCTCATTTGATTCATGCTAGCACACAGGACTTCCAATATGCTACACATGCTAGCAATGGTTAACTTTGAATGTTACAAAGTTAACCTCGGAGTTAAAACATGCAAAAATCCTAATTGTTAAAAGGTGAAAAAAAGGCCGTACCTGCGCAGTGCTGAGTTTTGCCACCACTCACATTTTCTTCAGAAAATGTACATATCTAGTTTCTGATGCAATTCTGAATTCAACAACGTGTGAAAAAGCTTCTGTATCTAGAAGCACCCATGTTCATGTTCTTGCATAGTAGGTTTTCTTCTGATATATATTAAAATCAAACTTGTAAGACGAGATCTTGGTTCTATCCATTGGTTGTTGATTGAATGGAGGCAGATCTGAATGCAAGCTTACAGTCAGTTGTAAGGAAGGCAGGGTTTAAGTGATCAAAATGATTGGAGAAGTGCGGCATATGTCATTTCACCAGATGATCAATTTACTGTATGACATTTTGATTAAAATGAAATTACAAGTTCAGCAAAATTGTAAATAAAAAAAATAAATGTATACATGGATAAATCATTCACAATAAGATCTATAACATGCATTTAACTTTAAATTATAAAATCTTGACAACAAAAGAATTGTTAGAGCATTGATCACTCTCTGTCCGGCTTTATTTTCTTAACATTTGCATATCTTTCAATAAAATTGATTAAAAAGATTGTTTTGAGCTGCTGGACTTGATGCCACATGTTGAGTGTCCCATGTTTCTAGCACAGATATGTAATCCTTGTTTGTTGAGCTATTAATAGCAGCCCAGTGGGTTTCTGTGATCCCTTGGTGACGTTCAGTATGTTTTGTGTTCGTTTTTATTTTTCCTACAGGCCACAAATCGCAACGTGAAGAGCTTGATTCTATTCTTTTTATATTTGAGGTAAGAAATATAGATAATCACTTGATGGCTATTTACACACACTAGCTCAATCTCATCAGCTTTGGTTTCTTTGTGACATTTTCTCCTGTGTAAACTCTCATTCACATACTTCCATCTGGCGCAGTATGAATGTTTGCACTGTTACATGTATGATCCACTAAGTTCATATTTACTGAGGCATCAGTTTCATCAGTAATGAGATCATTGATAAGAGAGATTGACGTGCACCTGACAGATAATTGTAAGTCTCTCAAACAGAAAACAGGTGTTCTTTGCCACGCCCTAAATGCTTCTTATGAGTCACGATGTAGCTTTTGCTCACTTGGTATGTCCCTATGGGCTGTTTGTAATGGTGAAGGCTGGAGACACTTTAGATGCCCCATCATGATGAGACAGGCATGATGTCTATGTGTAGAAGAGCTATTGCAACATTCCAGCCTGTTGCAATGTCACAAGGAAGCCTAGTAATGTGTGTTTGCACAAATCTGAAATGTAAAATGTAAAAATGTGCTACGCTCACAACATTTTTCAATCTCTTGTTACATTCATTGAGTTGTTTAAATGCATGTACTAACATGAGTATATACTGTATATAGGCATGTCTGCAGTCAAATCCATGTGCTTACCTTGCAGAAAATCCTACAGCTGTTACCAGAGCGTTTTTTTTATTTTTTTAAATGCTGCTGTTTAAAAGTTAGGGATAGATTTTAAAAGAAATTTCTTATGCTCACCAAGGTGGCATTTATTGGATAGAAAATACAGTAGAAACACTAATATTTTGAAATATTTTTTACAATTTCAAATAACTGTTTTCTAAATGAATATATAATAATATATAATATATCATTTTAAAATGTAATTTATTCCTGTGATGCAAAGCTGAATATTCAGCCGCTATTACGCCAGTCTTCAGTGTCACATGATCCTTCAGAAATCATTCTAATATGCTGATTTGCCACTCGAAACATTTTTTATTATCAATTTTGAAAACAGTTGTGCTGCTTAATATATTTGTGGAACTGTTTTTTTTTTTTATTCTTTGATAAATAGAACGTTCAAAAGAACAGCATTTATTTGAAATAGAAGTCTTTTGTAACATTATAATTGTCTTTACTGTCACTTTTGTCAGTTTAATGCATCCTTGCTGAAGTAAAAATACTAATTAGAAAAAAAGTCTTCCTGACCCCAGACTTTTGAACGGTAGTGTAAATGGAAAGTGGTTTTGGACTAAAGAGCTTTCACTATGGGCGAAGCTAAAATAGAAACCAAGTCACTTAATAGTTAGGGCAGAAAACTCAAATTAACATGGAAGAGATCTGATGTATCAAATGATACTTTGCGCCTGGTTGCGGTGGTCTCTCCTTTTCCTCTGCTTTGAAGCCTTTTAACTGAAGGATACACAGACCACCAAGATAAACACAGAGAATGCCAAGGACCTGGGGCCCAGAAACACCCAGATCTGACCGAGAACTCTGACATTACAGTCCTTCATCAGTGAGATAAACAATATGTGACAATAACATGAAGAATTTTCAGTCTAGTTTTATTTAGCTCTTTTCTCAATAAACCCACATTCCATACAAACAAATAAACATCATTGACAGATAATAAGCAAAGAGACCAGAGCAAACATGTTTTCCAGAATTATCTAGAAAGCCAGCTCATTTGGAAGTTATGAATTTGTTCCTCGGCTTAAACTACTGTGTTGCTTCATAGGTCTCATTCTGAAGAAACTGCTACACACTGGAAACTCCCTAAAGGTATTAAATGTTAAAAAATTCTTTACATTATAATATAAAAAGTCAAAATCTCAATAAACATTGTCATTGTGTGAGCAGTTGTTCTTTTTTAAAGAAATTTAAAGAAATATTTTGCCATCTTTATTATTTCTTAAATGGTTTTGTCTTAGTGCGCATATTTATTCAGTTCATGTCATTCAGGTTTTTTTTTCTTCTGCTGACATAAACAAGGTTGAGAGGGCTGCTAAAAATCATTTTAACCAATAATGTGGTTGTATGTGTGGTGTATAGATCCGGAGGGAAGGAGTGCGTCTCTTCCTTCTGTGGATGCAGGCTCTGCAGCACAACGCTCTGAGAGAGCAGCTCTGGATCTTCGCCTGTTTAATCCCAGGATTCCCTGCACCACAGTCCGAGCTGGGCCCTCGAACCCTGGATAATCTGATCAGCCCTCCCCTTAACCTTCAGGAGCGTGAGTGTTGTTTGTTGTCTCTAACAACTTATGTCCCAATCAGATAATAAAATAATAAAATCTGATGTTCAAAATCTTTCACAGAGCTTTTGTTACACTTTTGTAATATTTTTATTTCGTCTCTAAAGGCCATGTTTAATGTTATTCAATATTTCTCTCACCAAAATAGTCATAATTTCATTTTTCATGACCATTTTCCATCCTCTCTCTGACATTTAAAATAAACAGGATTTTTTTTTTGCCTCTGTAGCTTTAAGACTTATTTAAATTACTTTTGTAATGATTGGCTAAATTGTTTGCATGCGAAATAGTATGTTCATGGCAGTTTTATTTTAGTATTATTTATTTGCTATTAAAGTGTTTATTAATATTTTGAATGATTTGGTTTAATTTCAAATTTAGTTTAAATTTACTGTGTGCCTTTGTCATTTTTTTGTATTTTGTATTATTTCTATTCTATTTAGCTTTAATTTATTTACTTATTTTGTTTCTGTTAGTTGCCAGAGCAACATTTCTAATATTCATTTCTATTTTTAACAAATATTTTAATTTTTATTTACTTTAGTGTGATATCAATTAACAAAAATGATTTTTAATAGTTTTAGTTAATAAATAACAACACTGGCTCATGGTTGTGATATCAGAACCACAACTAATTCTGAATTACTCTGTTCTGCAGCTTAGTTTCAATAAATGTTTTGTGTGCACTGTGCAGGGAGATTTATGATGATTGTCTCTGCATAGTAAACTAAATTCTTACATCAAAATATAAATTTAAAAAATGTTTTACATGAAAAATACCCTTTCCAACATCTTTTTGTCCATTGCTGCAGCTCAAGTGACTCCAGAGGAGATCAGTCCCCTGGTGCCGCCCCAGTCAGGAGATAAATCCCAGGAAGATCTCACTGGCTACTTCCTGGAGGCTCTACTTAAATACATGGTAAACCAGGTACTCCCCGCCCCTCCTACTAACACTGCTTATGCTAACATGGCTGGCGCAGACCCAACGCTAAAGCTGCGGAAACCAAACTTACATGCCACTGACCCCAGATCTGCATGCATTTGATGCCAGATAGCGCTGCTGCAGCGGTATGTTTCCCTTGCGCTGTAACGGCTGCTCTGCTTCACACCCTCCCCAACATAAACAACAGCACCACGCACTGCCTTCCTCCACCAATCCCACTGTCCTCCACATAACACAAACAAGCTGTTCTGTCCCAGCCGCTGTGTATGTGCTCAGCTTGCCATGTGTGTTCCGTCTCCCTACAGGCCAAAAGTCTAGAGTGGAAGTGCAAGGAGAACCACGAGAAGGGGTTGAAATTCCTATTCGCCAATTTCAAAAAGTATTACCTGCCCCATATCTTCCCGAACTTCTCCAAGGAGACCAGTTTGTACAGTCCTATTCTGGGTAAGAGTTAATGATCATGCCATCCTTCTTTATGTCAAAGCAAACCTAATTTTTATTTCTCGTTGTTTTTGAGGAACTATTTAGCCAGTTATAATTGCTCATGATGATAAGATGTCTAATTTGGATTTGTGTCCTGTTTTATAATAGAGGTTCCATCCATGAGACCAAAGCCTTACTACATAGTTGTAAAAAGAGACCCAGAGACCAATGAAGCCCTGTACTGCACTAAAGAGAACTTCCTCAATGCCAGAGTCATATTTATCCGCTGGCTGGTCTCCTTCTGGCTGGAGCCACGGTCAAACACAGGAACACACATCCCTGGCATGGAAGGTGAAAACGTGCCAAAGAACATCCAGGTAAAAATACACAGGTGTATGACACAGAAATGGTTGTAAAGCACTTTTAGGGTTGGCATGACTTGGACTTTTTAATGGGATGGTTCACTCAAAAATGTAAATTCTGTTATCATTTACTCACCCTTAGTGCTGGGCGGTATACCGGTTCATACTGAATACCGGTGTTTATTTTTGTTATGAGATTCATTTTTAAAATACCGCAATACCGGTGTATGTCGCTTAAACAACGTTCGGAACGCGACACTGTTTGAAGGTCATACCGCCCAGCACTACTCACCCTCATTTCCAAACCCGCAAGACATTTGTTAAAGAGGTCATATGATGCTATTTTAAAGATCATTATTTGGTGTATTTGGTGTAACAGAATATGTTGACATGCTTTAATGTTCAAAAAACACATTATTTTTCAAATACTGTACATTATTGTAGGTCCTCTATGCCCCGCCTCTCTCAAACACGTCGTTTTCAACAAAGCCCCCTCCTTTGACAAGCGCAGTCTGCTCTGATTGGCCAGCTGACCCAGTGCATTGTAATTTTGCTTTCATACTGAATCACACAGCGTATCCCTGACATGGCCGCATCAACACTACTGCTGTTCCTGAAACCACGCCTTCTTTCTTTGCGTGCACATTTGGGCGGCATTATGCTAATATTTCCACATGGTGACGTAGACATGTGGGTGCGTGTTAGAATGAGCCGTTTTAGGTAGGTGTGGTTGACTCTTAACTTTTATAAAGAATATCTCTTTGGATTTGAGACTTTAGTCTTTGCAACTTTACAGATCTTCTTTATGCACCAAGAGCTTGTAACACTTCAAAGAAAAAGGAAAACTTGAAATCGCATCATATGACCCCTTTAATCTTTGAAACACAGAGTAAGATCTTTGCTGTAAAACAAATCCATATCAGTTGAGCGGTGTAATCCAAGTCTTGTGAAGCGGTACGGTTGATTTATATGAGAAACAGATTTAATTTAGGCTTTTATTTACATTTTATGAATGATCGACACGCATACATAGAGCACATCACATATGGTAAACATGGAAACTCAAACAAATGAGATCCAGTGAGGTTTGTTCTAGCATGTGGCACATGTGCATGACACAAGAACAAGATTCTGTGTATACCATATGCAATGCGGCCGATCGTAGCACTTGGATCATATGAATTAATTTAATGATGCCTTTATGACCTTTTTGGACCTTGGTTAGGTTTTTTTTTTTTCTTTTTTTCCAGTTTTGGTAACCAGTTTCATTAAAAATATTTTAATTTTTGTTTCAAAGGTGAACCGAAGTCTTGTGGGTTTGAAACTATTTGATGACAGAATTTTCATTTTTGGGTGAAGTACCCCTTTAGGGTCTGGACCGGTAACCGAACAGTTAAAGTCTTATTAAGCGACGTACACATTGTCTCAACTCTATCGATCAAGCTTTCTATGCACATTTTTGCAATGTTGCTGCTGTTTCAGAGAGCGGCGGTGGGCCTGGCTGCCCGAGGGGAGGATGGCGGCCCATGGCCAGATGGTCTGGATGGGGGTGGGACTGGTGAGCCGGAGCAGTCGCACTCCAACACCAGCACCCTGACTGAGAGAGAGCCCAGCTCCTCCAGCCTTTGCAGCATGGACGAAGAGCACCTCACAGACATTGAGGTGGTGCGCCGGGTCCTTTGCTCCTCTAGAACCAACGTCAACTTTATCACTGAAATCTTTCGACAGGTAATCCTATCATGAGGAACAGAAGGACTTCAGTACATCTAAATATTAATGAAAAAGGAAGAAGTCTGGCTCATTTTTGAAGAAGTTGTGATGAGAGAGGTTGATTGTTCTGATAAGGGGCTTCTTTGTCCTAGTGTGATTTAGAGTTCACAAAGAGGAACTGCTATGTGTGAGAAATGTTAAATATCAATAGGGATTGTTATAGCCCTTATTCTGAATATCTCAAAGACCCTGTTCAAAATGGTGCAAAAAGCCTTTATTTTGGTGTGAGGAAAGATGTCCAGTTAATGTATCTCTTTAGTCACAGATGCCTCTGCACACTGATTCTGTCTGTGAATATAATAGTGTATTATATTTTGCAGACGTTTCTGCTGCCCATGTGTGAGGCCGCAGCCATGCGTAAGGTGGTGCGGGTGTATCAAGAGTGGATCTCTCAGCAGGATAAGCCTGTGTTTATGAGAGAGCCAGAGGAAGACCGATTCACAGGCCAGCTGGACTCCACCCACGAGCAGAGAACTGATAAAGAGGAGGAGGTAGGTGTCTCTGAAGTTGACAACAGAGGAATGCAAAGGCAGTTATTACATACTGAGTCAGCCTGCACAACAGCTTGGTCCCCGTTTTTTTTTAATTATTTTTTTGCATCTGATACATCAGTGGTGGTATTGGCTAATATCCACTTTTTTTAATTATTCTGTCAGGCTAGGTTAATGTAAGAAGCTTACATCAGAGCTTATTTTTCCCCAATTCAAAGAGTGTGTACTTTTTCTAAAACAAGTTTCTGAAGTATAAAATAAAATGTATAAAAATAGTATTTATGTATTTATTATAAAACAAAAGATTAAATGGTTTACTGAAGTATTAAATACTCATCAACTTTTTTACTGTATATTATGTTGATGATTACACCATTGAAAACAACACTGGAATTTTAGTGTGAAATTTATTTATTTATTATAATACAATATTTATTATTTTTTTTTATTTTTTCATAGAACAGATAAAACGGCATATATTTTTATATTGACTATCTAAGCAATTATCTGTTATTAATACTGTACTGCTGTTGTTTAGCAATCAGTGTCTATTTTGTTTTGTGCGTAGGATATTGGGCTCACGGTGTCTGTTCACAGTCAAAACCCTAATTGGTGTAGGAATTCTGGGAGTAAATCCTCTGATTCTGAGGTGTTGGAGTATAACGTCCATGCTGGTGTCCAGGCCACACTACAGGTGAGTTTTGGTGTCGGTGTTTACGACCTAGACTGGAAACTGAAAGATTGTAGGTTCAAACCCTGCAAAGAGCAATTGAAGAGTTATTAGCATTGTGCAAAACATTGATGCACATAGCTTTGCATGTCAAATAGCTGACTCTTTATTTACTTATTTATTTTTGGATGAAGCAGAGTTCAGTTCATGGGAAATTTTGTGAAACATTTCTCCTTCCAGTCTCAGTTCCCCACTACAATCTTTTTTTCTTGCAGGTTTTCATCACCAACTCCTCTAACGTCTTCTTTCTGGAGGCAGCCAATGAGCTGAAGTCACTTCTGGAAGAGCATGTTGACATGTGCAAGCGTGTGCTCAATATATACCGCAGTCTGGTCATGCATGAAACCATGAACCAGAAGACCTGGTATGATGACTATGACATTCCAATTCATTCATCTGGTCTTAGGTGTCTGCTTGGAATATCTGCTCATCCTGAGTGTATTTGTGTTCATCACAGGGAGCAGATCTTGCTGGTGTTGCTAAGGGTAACGGAGTGTGTGATGAAGAGGCCTCCATCTTTTATGCCTCATGGGAAGAAGAGTAACACTTTATCGGGCCGTTTGGCGGGGGCCATTTTTCAGGTACCGCCCACCAACACACCATGGCAGTTAGTTTTTTTTTTTTTGGTTTGTTTTTTTCCTTCAGTTAGCTGTTTCTACGATTGTGAATAGGAGACATTTTTGGATGGCTCCGCCCATAGTGAATTCTCATTGGTCCAAAAACACTCACCACATACTACACATCGTACATGTTGTGTGCTTTAGCTTTTTGCAGTATTTCACTTTCAGTTGAACAGAAAAATTACTTTCTGTTTGAAATCTGGTTTGGACAGAGCCAGTAGATATCAGCTCTATGATAGTCACTTTTTTTTTTTTGTTAACTAAAACAATTACAATTCTTTTCATTGTCGTTTCAAAATAAAATATAAAAATGAGATGGAAAAACTTTAACTTAAAAATGTATTAATGTATAAAAAATCTTTGGGAAGTAACTGAAAATAAGTTTAGTAAAAGTACTAAAATTACTAAAACTAAAACTTAAATTTAAAGCTAAACAAAAACTAATAAAAGAGACAAAAGCACATAAATTACTAAAACTTAAAGGCATAATTCACTTAAAATTCAAATTCTGTCATTATTTACTCACCCTCATGTTGTTCCAAACCTTTATGAATTTCTTTCAGCTTTTAAACACAAAAGAAGATAATTTTAACCCTCTACCGCACGCATTATGATAGACCTATAGAAAAAAATATTTGAATCTTTTTCTTTCCTAAGAATGGCTTAACTTGAAGTGCTGTAAAAAAAAAATTGGGTTCTCTTAAAGAGACAGTGGCAAGGAAATGAACACAAAGAATATGTTGCCATATGGCTACACCATGCGGTAGAGGGTTAAGAATGCTGGTAACCAAATAGTTGACGGTAGCCATTGACTTCAATAACAATACTATGGAAAAAAAATACTATGGAAGTCAGTGGCTATCAGCAACTGTTTGTTTACCAATATTCTTCAGAATATCTTCTTTTGTGTTTAGCACAAAAAATAAACTTTGGAACAAGTGGGTGGCGAGTAAATTATGAAAGAATTTTCATTTTTAGGTAAACTATCCCTTTAAACTACAATTAAAACTAAAAACATAAAAATAAAAGCTATTTTTATGTTTATATATAGAATACTAATACATACAATTTAATATTTAAATAATTACCTAAAATTATTATTTCTAGTTCATCTGTTGAAGTGTCTGATGTAGTCCATACTTTGGGCTGTCTTCCTGTTCAGACTCTGATTGTGGCCTGGATCAAAGGGAATCTGAATGTGTACATCTCTCGGGAGCTGTGGGACGACCTGCTGTCTGTACTCTCATCTCTCACCTGCTGGGAGGAGCTGGTCACTGAGTGGTCTCTCACCATGGAGACACTCACCAAGGTACTAGCACGCAACCTTTACAGCCTGGACCTCAACGAGCTGCCCCTGGACAAGCTCAGTGAACAGAAACAGAAGAAACACAAAGGCAAAGGTGAGTTTGTACAGAAATACAAAATTACATGAGTACTTTTATGCTTGCACACAGACTAAGGAAGTTGCACAACATGCAAACTCGAGCCATTGAAGCATTTGAAAGATTTTGAAACATCAGTATCATATGTTTACATGATACATTCGCTCCCTCTAGGTGGAGCCCACGAATGCCAGAAAATCACTGTGGATAGGTCGTTCTCCAAAGGCTGGAGTCGAGACCCACCAGGCCAAGCTGCTGCCATGAGACAGCGCAGCGCTACCACTGCTGGCTCACCAGGCATCGAGAAGGCCAGAAGCATCGTCAGACAGAAGACAGTGGGTGAGTGTGCTTCAAACACTTCTTGTCCTCTCTTCCTGTCAGTTTAAAACTTTTTTTTTTCTTTTAAATTGTATAACCTTTGCTTATGTTTGTATCTGCATTATTCTGTTACTCTGGTTCAGAAAGACAAAGATGAAGATATTTACAAGGAGAGAACATGATTGCGTTAAATTATGTCCTTTCTTAAGGTGCAGTCACATTAGCGAAGTTTTGGCAAAATTTTGTGGGCAAAAATGTCTATTGTCAACAGTGTAGAGATGAATATAGCAGTGCTTACACAGATGTCACTTTCAAACCAAGCAGATTTTTGTTGGTCAACATAGTGTATCAGTGTTGAACCTATTGTGAAATCTGCTGCTTGACTGGGGTTCGCCCATAAAAATTCTGCAAACAGTGATAAATGTGACTGCACAGACTGCATCACGATTTGCATGCTTAGCATGCAATTTTTTGTCAGTATTACACTTTTTAGTATATTGTGAAATAGTATAATATAATGCAGTTGCTTTTGATTCCACGTACTCTGTTGCATACAATGTGCATTAGCTCCTAGTTAAATTCATTACTGTAAAATTCATTATTACTACTGTTAATATGTTCATACTTGTCTGTATTCCTCTCTGCATTTCTGCAACTGAAGTCAAAATAGAACTCACAAACTCCTTTTTTATATTGCAAGGGATTGTGGGTAATATTAACCCAAAAAGCATGCAATGATGTACAATGATACGCTACTGTTCAAAAGTTTGGGGTCACTAAGATTAAACAAATTTTTTTGAAAGAATTCTCTTATTTTCTATTTTAATATATTTTAAAATGTAATTTATTCCTGTGATGCAAAGCTGAATTTTCAGCATCATTACTCCAGTCTTCAGTGTCACATGATCCTTCAGAAATCATCCTAATATGCTGATTTGCTGCTCAAGGAACATTTCTTATTATCATCAATGTTGAAAACTGCTTCATATTTTTGTGAAAATTGTAATACAGTTTTTCAGGGTTCTTTGATGAATAGAAAGTTCAGTAGAACAGCATTGGTTTGAAATAGAAAGCTTTTGTAACATTAAGTGTCTTTAACTTTTCTTTAACTTAAAGCATCCTTACTGTATAAAAGTTTTTTTTTTTTTTTTAAATCTTACTGACCCCAAACTTTTAAATGGTAGTGAATACTGCATAGCATCTGGGCGCTTTCACATACTGTTTTCAGCATTGTGTGATAATGTAAATTTATATTGTGAAATATTAATACCTTGTCACCTAACACCTAATCTAGCAGACTACATAGTGCCCATAGTATATGAATAGGAATGCATCCTTATGCTTAAAAAAAATAAAAAATAAAAAATGCTGCCATGATGTGACTCATCCAAAACATGATGGAATGTATTTAACACGTCATGTTTCTCCTATAAAGTTCACAGTCTAGATTTTCCAGTGACATGATGTTCATGTGTACGTCAGTGCTGATCTGATATGCACTGATAAGGTCACTTCTTTACCTCCTTTGTAATGCTCAGTGCTTTCTGCCATCACTTTCTCTTTTTTCCTCTCTTTCTCCTCCCTAACTTCTCCTGTGTTCCTCATCACTCCTTATCTCTCTGCCTCATTTCACTTTCTCTCTCACACTCTCCGTCTTCTTGTTGTTCTTCTCTTTTTCTCTTTCTGGGTGTGTGCGCGGTCTGTAGCTCTGCGTAGTTGCTCTACGGGGGACAGTCTGCTGTCCTCAGCCTTTATCCGCAGTGCTAAAAGCGCACCTGTCCTGATCCACCCTGTACACCCTCTCCTACCTGATTCTGTCCTCACTCCCTTAGCTGATGAGCTGTCAGGTAGAGCCCTCTACGCCTGTATCGGCACGCTCGCCTCTGACTGCATCCCGGCCTATGGATATGCATGGATATGTATGTGTGCGCACTTCCTCTAGTCAGCATCCCCTGTCTGCCCTGTCATAATTTTTTTTTGTAAATATTTGATATATTTATATATAAATATAATGCATATATTTAATTTTGGGTTTGAATATGACCCAGCCATTTCTTTGTGTGCACTTCACCCAACAGACCTATTGAGTCCTGCATGTGTGCATTTTTGTCTGTAGTACTGGTTGCTTTTCCTCGTCTTTGAGAATCTACACTATTATCCTTCTTGCATAACCATTCATCCAGTATAATCCCACTTCACACCCAGAACTTTTGAGAAAAATACCCTCTACAGGATTTACCTTTGTCTGCATTTGTTCATCATAATTTTTGTCTAGAGCAACTGGGAGAATGTCACAATGGAAGCATTCATTTATGTGTCTTTTAAAGTGAATAGCTTTCTTTTTGCTTGTGAACTTATGTGTTTCATTTACCGTTGAGATTCATTTTGAAATGTAATTAGATTTTAATTGTGTTTTATGTATGCATGTTTTTTGCATGTAAAATGTGCATCAGTTAATATGATAATACTCTCTAGGTCTTTTCATCACCTCTTAGGTATCTGAAATTTTAAGATTTGTTGCTTAACTTGTGTCTTTAAGATAATATTACTGACCATATTAATGCATAATTACACTTGCATCCTTAAAAGTGCTGATTGATACATATCTGTTCCTGTTCAGACCTGGAGGAACCTCCCATGGTCCAGCGTGGGCCGCGGATCCGCCACTGCTCTCAAAGTGAGGAGACCCCATCGTCCGAGGTGTTTTCCACCTCCGGTGAGCTGGAGCAGCCCCCGCTCCCCCGCAGCAGCAGCACCTCTGACATCATGGAGCCCTTCATCGCAGAACGGGTCAAAGGTGCACTTCCTGTCTCTGACAGTCCCTCTCACTCCTCCCACTTTACCACCACCACCTCTGAGTCCCCCCACAGTTCCCCGACCCCACACCAGCTTACTGACCCACACCAACCCCCTGACAGCCAGGCATCCCTGGAGGTGGGCGAAAGCATCTATGACCATCTCTGCCAGATGCCGGGGCAGCAACCCCCCTTTATCCCTGATTGGTCCTGTCCAGCAGCGGCCTCGAGCAATCAAAACGAGGGTGAAGGGGAGGAGGATGTCTTCAGCACTTTTAGGGAGTTTTGTAGCAAGGAGGAAGTGAAGGTGGAAGCAGGTGCAGATAACAGGCAGGTGCAGCTTGGGGGAAGTGGGGATTGGGCGCTAGAATGGGATAAAGAGATGGAGCAAAGCGAGAAGAGTTTTTATGAGTGTTTAGAAGAATGTGATTGGGATTTGAGTGTTAGTACGCAACCAGCAGAGGGCAGCAAAGTCACGCAGCTACACCGCCAGAATGCCACAGACAGGGCTAGTGAGCGCGAGCTTAGTCCGCAGGCTTCCCAGGTTGCACCCAGGCCCAAACTATCCCATCTTGATCCCAATAAACGCCACAGTGGTGGTGTCCACGTCAGCTTCCGCCCATCCACAGAGTCTGTGCAGTTTCACAACCCTCTGGACCCCAAAGGGGCGCACTGGAAGATCCGTCTCCGCCGTCTCGGCCACTTCAGCAGCCACTCGGTTGGGGCAAGCGGGGCAGCGGCGAAGGGCGTGGGGGAGGGGGTCACCTGTTGCGAGGCGGTCGATCGGGAGAGAGGCTCCATCAGTGGGGCTAGACGCGGCCGACTCGGCCGCCCAACTCTCCGCCCGCGGGGGTCCCGCTCTAGGTCTCAGGAGTCAGGGTGCAGCCCGTCACGGCAGCAGCAGGTGGCGCTCTTGGGCGGGGTGTATAAGTCTATGGTCCATGCTCTCTCCAAACCCAAGGCCCAGGCAGCGTCGCCCCAGCATCACAGCAAAACGCCCGCCACCGAGGCTCACCTGAAGGACCTGTACACTCACGTAATGGGCTATTTTGGAAGAAAAACATCAGGTGAGGACTTGGTCGGCTCAGTGTCAACATGGAAGACATGAAAAATGTGACCAAAGCGCCTGTGCGTTTTCCCTTTTTTTCTCTCTTTTCTTGTGACTGTTTGATTTTTCATGAATGCGAATTGAATTGAAGCCTCTTTTTGTATTTTCTTTCAAAGTAGCTCAGTTCCAAAAAAAAAAAGACTCCCAAAAGACCAACGGTCCCCTACCTGTGGGATGGCTTCCCCTCCTCCTCAAGCTTCTGGGACCTAATCTCTGCTGCCCCTCTTCCCCTGGATGCTGCATGCGACTTCATGCCTACCTCCCCACCCTCTGTCAATCTCTCACACATGTACATGCACACACATGCTCACTGACACATTCATAAAACACAGTGATCTTTAATATAACCTAATGTTATGTGTTTTAATCTATACAATTCTTAATAATGTCATTTTAAAAGAATAGTGCACCCAAAAATGATAATTCTCTAATTTTTTATAACCATGTTGTTTAGAGGAATATCCTGAGTGTTCTTTTTTATAACAGTAACTTGGGCTTAAAAAAAAAAACTCCTTAAAATTAGGTTTTCTAAGTCATATGGTAGGGGTGTGTGATGGTATAATTGCACAGACTGTATATATATATATGTATGTATGTATGTGTGTGTGTAGAAAAAAAATGAATACTGAAAAGTTAAATAAAATTAAATTAAATGTTTTTTAATTAAAGAAATTAAATGACACTTTAAATATGAAGAACATGAAGACTTTAAATATAAAGAAGTAGCATGAATACATTTGCACTGCAATTTCAATTGTATGTGTGTATAGAATATCTGTTTTAATATATATTGCATTATGATATTATTTAAAAGTTTTAATGACTTTAAATATGAACAAAAAACAATTCAGTGAAAAAAAAGTAATTGAATCAGTCATTCAGATGATTCATTCATAGACACAATTCATTCAATAAAGAAACCGTTGCGCAACAATTCTGCTCCAGCTTTGTTCTAAACTATTTTCGTTGGCATTCTAACTATTCTAATAATGCTGCATAATGCAGTGAATGCATGGACTCTTTAAGGCAGGGGTATCAAACTCAGTTCCTGGAGGGCCGGAGCCCTGCAGAGTTTAGATTCAACCCTAATTAAACACACCTGATCCAACTAATCAAGTCCTTCGTGCTTATTTGAAAACTATGGTATGGTAATGGTATGTGTGTTGGAGCAGGGCTAGAACTAAACTCTGCAGGGCTCCGGCCCTCCAAGAACTGAGTTTGACACTCCTGCTTTAAGGCATGTTTTTTTGCAAAGTGAGTGACATAGTTGATAGTTTTTGCTTGCACATTGTTAAAACAACAATTATATTATTGTAGACAATATATATCACACACCACTACTTGTATGATGTCAGTTTCCTGTTATGAGAGAAAGCACTCTGAACCCTATATAATCTTTTGAGATATACAATGTTTGGAACAACATAAGAATGCATAAATGATGACAGAATTTTCATTTAAGAGTGATAAAAAATTGTAACGGAATACAGTTGGTGTAGTTGCCATAGTTGCAATGTTTTGTATGGCCAGTAGAGAGCAGCACTATCACTCAAATAGCACTGTTTTCTTGTTGTACTGTGTTAAAAGCTTGCCAGCCTTCCTGTAGTGTAGTAACAGGAATCACCTTAGAGCGGCTCCTGTAGACAGTTCAGTTGCACAAAGCTATTAGTTAATCAGGGCCCTTATAACTTAAACACAGCTTGTAGTCTAAACTAACTAGACTTCTAGAAGTACCGAAATGCCCAAAGTCACGGCCCCACCTTGTTGTGCTGCCATGTTCGTATAATTTGTTGTTAACCAGTGGCTCCCTAACCCTTTGCTTTGGGATGAAGGCTGCCTCGTCTTGCTGTGGGTGGCTCCTCTAACGTACTCACTGCTTTCTCACTTTAACCTCAGTTAACATAAAGGCTCACTAACTCCTAGGTTTGGATTTCCAGGGTTTGCTCTGTCTCTCTCTCTGTCTGTCTCTGTTTGGGGACTGCATGAACTGTGAGTAACTGCATCGCTTCACTGGATGAAATCAGTTTTGTGGTTGGCTCCCATTAAAGATTTTGTTTTTCTGTACGCGTTCTGATTTAGCGTTTAATGTCAAAGGTTTTGGTTGTGTTTAAAGGGCAATAGTGCTGAGTTTCATTCGCTCGGTTTTTCACCACAAACAATTTTATTTATTAATATTTAATGTAGATTCAAGCATCACATCCATGATTATTTGGTTTCATGCTAATTTTAGCTGATTGTTGAATTTGTTTGGTGAAACAAGATTACATTTTTACCATAATATGAAAAACATTTTCTCCTGTTCAAACGTTTGGGGTCAGTAAGATTTTTTTTTTTTATTTATTTATTTTTGAAATAAATTAATAATTAATGGATACATTAAATAATTAAATATAAAATAATTTATTTTAAATATATTCTTTTGAACTAAGAATCCTGAACATAAAAATAGTCATGGTTCTCAAAATATGAAGCAGTTTCCAATTCCAACAACTGTTTCCCTTGAGCAGCAAATCGGCATGTTAAAAAGATTTCTGAAGGATCACATAACACTGAAGAGTAATGATGCTGAAAATTCAGCTTTTCCATCATAGGAATAAATTACATTTTAAAATGCATTATTAAATTACAGTTATTTTAAATTGTAATAATTCACAATATTACTGTTTTACTGCATTTTTGATAAAAAGAGACTTCTTTCAAAAATATAAAAAAAATCTTTCCAACCCCAAACCTTTGAACTAGTGTACATACATGCTTTAGTGTACATATATTTTATTTAGTGAATGTGAACAGGTTGCCATTGTGTCAAAAAGAAAAAAGCTGATGTAAAAGAGGCAAATGTTAAACATGAGCAAAAAACCTTAAAGGAAAATTAGCCCATTATTTACTCACCCTCAAGCCATCCTAGGCATATATTACTTCCTTCTTTCAGATGAATCCAATCGGAGTTATATTAAAAATTGTCTTTGATCTTCCAAGCTGTTTAATGGCAGTCAGCGGGTGTTGCAGTTCATCAGTCCAAAAGAAGTGAAATTAAGCGCATCCATCCATAATAAAAAGTGCCTCACACGGTTCCGGGGGGTGAACAAAGGCCTCCTGTAGCGAATCGATGCGTTTTTGTAAGAAAAATATCCATATTCAAAACATAATAATCACTTTAATCTAGCTTGCGCCAACAGTTGTACACTGAAGCAGCTCCGGGAGGATGACGTAAGATGTCGGCATTGCGCATGCGCCGGTGAGTCTCGTGAAAACCCTAAAAAGGGAAAACCTCTCGTGATTAAGCCTAAAAATGGCAAACCCATAAAAAGACATCAGAAAATTAATTTAATGCTATTTTCCATATTATTGGGACTCAAATAATACAATTTCATGATTTTTTTCAAAACTTGACTCTTATATTTGATTTTAATGTTTGTATCCCCCAGGATACGTTGCTCCTTTGGGGGTATAAATTCATTGGAAACAGAACACTTGTTTATCAATGCTTGTTACAGCATGGTTGTGATTCCTGAATGTTTTGGAGTACAGACCTAACGTTGGTCTCTTTTTAAAGAAGACACATAGCAGATTATTGCTGAAGTGAAAGCATTTTAAAAAAAGAAAGTATAAAAAAGTTATAAAAGTTTAAGTTTACAGTAAAGATAATGTAGTATACTAATTGTTTTTATTTTATATAAAATAAATATTTTATAAAATATGTTGCACTCTAAAATTGCTATAAAATCAAAGCCATATGTCTAACCAATTTATGTTCCAAACTTGAAGTTGATATCACAAAAATGGTGGTTCCTGTGAGATTTTCTTTGGGCACTATACCAAAAGTAACCACTGGGTTACACACAAACTCTATTGAATTTATCTAATGCAGTTTTCTGTCACAAATCAATCATTTTCTGTCACAATATCACATCTATTACAAAACAGTCACCAAATATGGAATCTTGACTGTCAGACCTTTCCAACGATATGTGTTTTGTCAAGATTACAAAAAGATTAGATCTTCAAAAACACAAGCCACAAAATCACAGAGTATATATATCAAGTATATATATATGTTTTTATATCTTGATTTATATCCCTAAAAGGGCGACGTATCCTTGAGATACAAACATTTAGAGACAGATTACAAAAAATATAAGCATTTAACTAACCGATTTATGTTCCAAACTTGAAGTTGATATCACAAAAATGGTGGTTCCTGTGAGATTTTCTTTGGGCACTATACCAAAAGTAACCACTGGGTTACACACAAACTCTATTGAATTTATCTAATGCAGTTTTCTGTCACAAATCAATCATTTTCTGTCACAATATCACATCTATTACAAAACAGTCACCAAATATGGAATCTTGACCGTCAGACCTTTCCAACGATATGCGTTTTGTCAAGATTACAAAAAGATTAGATCATCTAAAACACAAGCCACAAAGTCACACAGTCTATGTATGTTTTATATCTTGATTTATACCCCTAAAAGGGCGACGTATCCCCGGAGATACAAACATTTAAAGACAGATTACAAATAATTTAAGCATTTAATTCATAAAATTTCAATGTAAACCTAATAAGCTAATGCTGAACAACAGCTTTTTAAACGGGTAAGTCCCCTCCAACGTGTGTAAATATGTAAACTAGATCAACTTTTATCGGAGGGTGAGTAGATTTCCCACTATTTAAACCATGCAGGTTTAAATGCTGCCAGTGAGCTAAGCAAAGAATGGAGAAACAAAAGTCACCTCATCTAAATATTCACAACAAACACCCTTTCAACATGAAACCAAGAAATGAGACCTTGACTCTCCCCACAGCCTCTCAAATGTTTGTATCCCACAGGATACGTTGCCAGTTTTAGGGTTAAATTATTGGCCAGTCTTTCACTTTTCTAAAGAGACCTTTTGACAAAAAAGTTGGCCATGTCACTTCATCTCTATAAGAAGTGAGAACTGTTTTAAATTCTGTAAAAAAAGTTTCAAAGTCGGCATAAAAATATGTTTAGACCAAGTGTTTTCCAAGCCACAGTACAAGGCACATCCATATGCTTCATTTGAACCAGCCTTTGAGTCACTGATGAACTGCAACACCCGTTGACTGCCATTAAACCGCTTGGAAGATCAAAGACAATTTTTTATATAACTCCGACTAGATTCGTCTGAAAGAAGAAAGTCATATACACCTAGGATGCCTTGAGGGTGAGTAATTCATGGGCTAATTTTCAATTTTTTAATTTTGGGTGAACTAACCCTTTAATGGCACTGTTGTCCTTTAAGAAAAATGTGTTTATTTACTCACTGTCCCCAAACTAATCTCATTCATAATTATATTCAACTGCTGTAGAGAGAGTCAGACACCACTACAAAGAGGGAGTCAGTTAGTACATGTCATTCTGCTATATCATCTGTGTTTTTTTGCACTCACGTTTTGGGAGGTCCCAGTAAAAGTACTGATGTGCCTTTCTGTGCCTGTTTTCTTAGCCAATAAAGATGAGCTAACGCCGAAGATGAGGCCCATGTCCAACGATGCTGGCAGCAGCAACCCTAATGTCAGTGACCTCATGGATGAGTTCATTCAGGAAAGACTGAGGGCCAGAAGCACTTCTGTATGTCCGTGCAAACATTCAGTATGCATAGTGTCTGAAACTTCATCTAATTAAAGGATAGTTCTATATAATCTTGAACTGCTCAGATGGTAGAAAAATTTAAGAAATGTTCATACCTGTCATAATTTTTTAAGGCATTATTTTCTTTATAATTAATCACACTAAATGATTGCATTAAATTGATATATCATAATATTTGTAAACAAATGAACAAATATACTAATACACAAGTATCACATGTCAGCTAATTGCTGTATAATGCTTAAAACCAAATGATTCATTTTTTTGATTCTGGTGTTGTATATTATCGTATATTATTTTTAATGTATATTATGTTCTTTTTAGGGCATGACGAGGCGTGGCAGTAGCCCAGGAAGTCTGGAAATCCCCAAAGATCTACCAGAGCTCCTGAACCGTCAGAACACCACGCGTCCTGCAGACGACCCCGGTGTGCCCTCTGAGTGGACCTCCCCAGGTAGCGCCAGTGGAAGTGACCTCATAAGCTCTGACAGCCAATCAGATTCCTTCAATGCTTTTCAGTATGACAAAAAGTTTGAAAGTAAGTAGTTTAGGTTGAATTGAAAGAGACAAGCCAGTACAAGAAAGAGACAAGTAAGAGGTTGATAATGAATGAGTGTGTTTGTCTGCAGATTTCAGCTTCCCCCCTGAAACGTGTGCTGTGGCCTATGTGGATCAGGATAGTTTGGAAGGAGCAGGTCAGACCGCAGAGGAGCAGGAGCTTTCCAGTCTCACAACACTCCACATCGACTCGGAGACCAGCAGCCTCAGTCAGCACGGCCTGTCTGCTGACACCGTCACCATTACTGGTACACTCTCTCACACTCACATACAGCAGGGTGTAGTGGACTGGTAACTGAAAGGTGGTAGGTTATGAACTGTACGCAACTGTTCTAAATTGATAACAAAAGTCTTCATTTTAAGAGGTCTTTCTTTTTTGGGGGGACGAAAAGACAGAAAATCATAATATGGTTTGTGATTATTAACTTCAAAATGTAATGATTTAATTAAATAAATGTGCAAACTGGATATTATTGGTATTTTGGTTATGCAATAAACTGTATCTGGCATTTAATTCAACATGAAACTCTTGTGACTGACAAAAAGTCTCAAATTTGATTATCGAAAAATTTGCAGATACCTAACAATCCATATTTGATTCATTTTCAAAATTGTAATATTTGACTCCAGACCAAAGACTTTTTTTATTCAAGTTTTTGTTTCAAATCTTAACATACACAGAACGACACATCTGTCGTAGTTGCATTGCAAGTAATGTAAAGAAATGTGATCTGCTCACCGAACGTAATTTCTGCGGAGACCAGCAGCAATGAGAAATGTATTATACTGTAAAAGTCAAATAATTCATCATCAGTAGTGGTTCCCTCAGGCAATTAACCCAGATTGCTATCATTCCGATTGCATACCGTATTTCAGTCCACATGAACAGCATAATCTCTAACCTTTATTTTCAAGAACACTATAGGGTGTCCTTTGGTAAACCCAAAACTATCCAAACTAGCTTAACTAATGAACATTTTACATGTTAAGTGTACTGAAACTTTCTTTGGGTAAAAGCATCTGCTGCTTGATTCCGTGCTAAAAAATACTCTGGTATCAGTCACACTGTTCCCGTATGCTGTATTACTGTCAGTGGAACATTACGACACAATTCTTTGTCGTCGTGTTTAGAGATCTAAGAGATGATGTGCTTGATATTTCCTCAGGTTCTGAGAGCGCATCTCCAATGCACTCTCTGGGAGGTTCACGATCGCAGACGCCGTCCCCTGCCACGCTGACTTCTGAACACGTCCAGCATAAAGACTTGCAGCTGGATGAGAAAATGCACCACTCTGTGCTGCAGACCCCTGATGACCTTGGTAATTTATAGATAGATAGACAGACATACTTAGCTAGGAATGTGCAAGCTAGTACGCTATCTGTTGCATCTTTGACATCTTTGTAATGAACCTGCTTTATTGCACATTTCAGAAACCAGCGAATTTCCCACAGAGGACTGTAGTGTTATGGCTGGCGGCACTCTGACCGGCTGGCATGCTGATGTTGCCACAGTGATGTGGAGGAGAATGCTTGGCATTCTGGGAGATGTCAACTCCATCAAGGACCCTGAGATCCATGCACAGGTCTTTGACTACCTCTGCGAGCTCTGGCAGAACCTGGCCAAGGTGAACACTCAGAGTCCTTCAGAGTGCTCTGAAAGGATGATTTACAGTGCCGTAACTAATCAAATTCCAGTTGAAAAATGTCCTTATGTCTCTGTGTTTTTTTCCGTCTCTGTAGATCAGAGACAATCTCGGGATTTCCCTTGACAACCAGTCGTCTCCACCCCCACCAGATCTGATTCCACCTCTGCGGATTCTGACTCCCTGGCTTTTCAAAGTGAGTTTAGCAATATTTTACCTTTACTGTTTATCTGAATGGCAAAGACATAGTTGACTTTTATGCATACTTTATTAGTTCTGTCCATCTGTGGTTCTGTCTATCGTTCACTATCTATCTATCTATCTATCTATCTATCTATTAGGGGTGTAACGGTACGCGGTGTAACGGTAACCCTAACCCTAACTACATAATGGCACGCACGTGCCCTGCTCACTCCAAAGTCCCCACTCCAAGGGGATAGGGATGATCACTTCCATTTGGAATTTGCCCGTGAACCGTTCGGTACACGATACGCGTACCGTTACACCCCTACTATCTATCTATCTATCTATCTATCTATCTATCTATCTATCATAAAGGTTTTGTGCTGTCTGTGTGCAGGCCACTATGTTGGGTGAACGCTATAAGCAGGGCAAACTCCACGCCTATAAGCTCATCTGTAAGATAATGAAGAGAAGACAGGATGTTTCACCCAACTCTGACTTCCTTACGCACTTCTACTACATCATGCACTGTGGCCTGCTTCATCAAGACCAGGTGTGTTTGTGTGTACCTGGTCTCCATGTGGATTGCCAACTTTGTTCAAAACTTTTGTGTTGACCTCTTTCTCTTTGCCTTACAGGACATTGTGAACACCATCATTAAGCACTGCTCACCACGATTCTTCTCTATTGGTCTTCCGGGAGCCACAATGCTCATCCTGAACTTCATAGTGGCAGCGAGCCGTGTAACCGCCTGCTCGTCCCTCAATGTGAGAAACCACCGAACTGCTTCCAGATATCACTGCCTCTACATGTGTTAACATATATGCACATGTGTTTGCAAATGTTACACCCAATGTGACTTTGTAGCTGTTGTTAATTGCTTTTGTCTTTCTCTTTTCTTGGTCTTTCTCCCAGGCTCCACGGGTGGAGGCTCAGATCTTGTTGGGCTCCCTGGTGTGCCTCCCAAACTTGTACAGTGAACTTCCTGCCCTGCACCCTACAACAGCTGACATCCTCATGACGAAATTCACAGATGTCAAGGTATCAAAACCTGCCCCAAGAAAAAAAAATATTGATGGGTCAGGACGCATGGATGCATTAGTGAGGCTATTTATCTACCTCTTTTTTCCTTTCTATAAAAGTTTTTAGAATATTTAAAGTGTTTTATTTATATATGAACTTTATTAATAATTCTAATAATTTTTTTATTTAATTATTTAATATATGTATATATATATTATAGGACAAATGCTTTGAGCAATTAATATAATAGTGCATTTATAATAATAATATCATTTTTATTATTAGATTTTTTTCATTATTCACTATAAATATTTATAATCCATACCATGCGAACCAAAACTGTTGCACTTTAGTCTGAGAAAAGCTTTTGAACTGACTGGTTGTTCTGACAAACCATCAACTAATAATTGGAAAATAAGCGATTTTGTGCATCTTTCCTAAAAAATAATCTCTGATATCATGGGGCTACATTCAACCACCAGCCTTCAATCAGGACTTCCTTATGTGCTTATATCTGTAGTCTGTGTTTAACCTCTGATCCACCGCCTGCCCTTATGCAGATCCAAGTGGCTGAATGTATGCCACTCCAACGGTTGTTTAGAGTGCAGGGAAATCTCCTGTAATTGTTCCTGCCGACTCTAATGTGCTAATGGGCGATCAGCAATGCAAGCTGCATTGACCCAAACTCCATAGGGCTGTTGTTATTGTGTTGCTGTGTTGTTCCGAGCGACGGTAAGGAGCTAATGCCATGCGAGGAGGCGTCCGTCACTCACATGCAGAAATTCGCATGATGGCATCTGATAACCAGGAGCAGACCATGAATGACAAGATGGTGGTTAACGTGATCCTTTTTCTGTGCGTGTGTGTGCGCGGGCAGATGCTTCTTTTCCAGATGGTTGGATGTGTCACGTTCCGAGTTGCCAGATTGCTGGTTTTATGTCAGATTTTGAGTGTTGTGAGCGGTTCTGATCATTATCTGTCTGTCTGTCTGCATTATCTCACTCTGTGCATCTATGTCTCTGGTGGGAGTGTGTGCAGTGTTGTGTATGTTTCTGTGAGCGAATGTGCTGTGTGAAAGTCTGTGTGGCTAAGAAATGGGTACATATTATCTGACACTCTCTAGATAGAATGAAATTGATCAGTATCAGGAAGTCGCCGGTTCCTTGAACAGGATTTTATGCACCCTGTATTTTCATTGACTGCCATTCAGAATTGTCTATTTGTTCTGACGCAAGGGCATATTAAATTGATCACAAGTGCCAGTAAAGACATTTATAGCGTTGCAAAAGATTTCTATTTCAAATAAATGCTGTTCTTTTGAATTTTCTATTCATCAAAGAAAAAAAAGTGTCACCTTTCCATAAAAATCTTAAGCAGCAAGTTTTCATCATTGATAAAAAGAATTGTTCATGATCATGTGAAGACTGGAGTAATGTCTGCTGACAATTCAGATTTGTCATTACTGGAATAAATTACATTTTAAAATAATTTTAAACAGACAACTGTGGAACTTGAAGCTTGTTTCCACCACAGGATAAAAAAATTAAAAGGTTATTGCAACTTATCTCACTTTTTATTTCTGAGAACAAAAACCTTTCTCTGAGAAATAAATTCAAAATTGAAGTTAAAAACAAGCTTTCATAGAAAACCGTTATTTAAATTGTTTCAATTCAGCCTTGGTGACCCTAAAAGACTTTCAAAAATCTTACACTGCAAACTTTTGACTGGTGATGTATATCGATTATGCTTTATTGTATTAAATTAGATGTTTTACTAGTATCTCATTTTTTTAATTATATGCATATTAAAACAAAACTATTTTAATTATGTTTTCATTTTTAGGGCTTTTAAAAGTGTGAAATTCACCCAAAACTTTAAAGAAATAATAAATAAATCAAGTATGATATGACCCCGTTAACAGTGATTGTTTTGTTTTTCTGTTTCAGGAGCATATAATCAAGCATATCCTGACCTCTGCCAGAGATGAGCCTTCTGCACCAGCGAGGTACAAGCCCTGAACTCAAACACCTTGTCCTAGTCAAAGCTGTGACTTGTTACCACATTTACTCTGACATGTTGTGCTGTGGTGCTTAGGTAAACGACACAAGTTTGAATTTGGCTCGCAGCGTTTCCTGATCCCATTCCCCCACACTCTCCACATCATTTCCTCTTCCACTAAATAAAAAAGTGTGGGGAAAAAACATGTCATCTTAGCTAGGTGTGTCACATTAAATAATTTGCCTGTCCTTACTGATTGCAAAATACTACATGTAAAGATGGTACTCAACCAGAATGAGCTTTTTTAAAATGCAACCAGCTTCATTTAAATGCAGGAGTGTAGCCTATCCGTTAAATTATCACTCACAAAATTTGAGATGATTGACAGTGATAACCATATCAACAACAATATTACATTTCAACATTAAAAAAACATAATTAAATAAATATAATAATTATAGAAATAGGCAACATTTATCTCTGCATTAATGTAAGAATGCTACATTCCTTATATAAATGACTAAAATGACAAAACTAAAATAAGAAAAATAATAACTAAATAGTATTTTTCTTAAATATAAAATTCATTTTTTTAAGAAGAATACTGAAACTAAAAATGATTACATGAAGTCTCGGGACAGTTTTATTATAGGTTTGCGTGTATTCACTGCATGATTTGATGTAAAATTAGAAATACAGCATTCTTATTACTGCAATATATTTTTACATTTGTATTGCCACAAGAACTGCAGTGTTGCCACCAGTGTTGGGGGTAACACATTACAAGTAACGCGAGTTACGTAATCGGATTACTTTTTCAAGTAACTAGTAAAGTAACTTTGTATGGAGTAACGCAATATTGTAATGCATTACTTTTAAAAGTACTTTCCCCAACACTGGTTGCCACGTACAATTAAAACAGTTCCAAATGAAAACAGTACAAAGCAGCATAAAAATTAAGAACAAAAGTTTCTGTCTCTCTTGCAGATGCGTGTCTTTTTCAGCCAGTTTCTTTCTCTCTATCACGGACGCTCCGCATCTCTCATGAAACAAAACAAAACCAAGCAACAAGAGAGACACGCTCTTCATTCGTCTCACTTCGCAATAATAAAAATAATCAGTGGCATCATGCAGATAATTTTTTTTAAGTCATTTCTTAAAAATGAACCAAAGCATGCTCATACATTATTAACGTCTTACTGTCGTTATTAGCCCTTAATAGGTTGAGTCTTACATGTATTCTGTAGCTTATTGTGAATATACGTCATCAGTTTTGGACACCACAAAGCTTAAATGCACCTGATTTCTGCGCTTGGAAACGAAAGTTGTGAATCAGCCGTTGTTTTCTGTCATTTAGAGAAATGTGTCAAATCTGCACACATCTGCAAAATAATTTTCACAAAAGGCTAACATGTAAATGAATATGTAATACATATCTCATTAAATGACAAAATTCTTAAGTTGTATTGTGTTGTCTAATTCATTTTTTATTTTTTACATTTTGGATGGATCTCCCGCACGACGAAACTTATAAATGACATTGGCTTCAAATCATATTTTGTATTCCTCATTTTACATCAAATCACACAAGGTATATGACTCTATATGAAAACCTGCAATACATTTAAAAAAAGGACAGATAATGAATAAGTATGCGTGAAATGCTGAAATGCATCAACGAATTATTAAATGTAAGTTTCAAACCTTTCATATGTGACAATAGTGCCAAAATATGTGTTAGAACTAGGCCTAGCCTATAACACTCAAAATCTTCCTAACAATAAGCTACCTTTTCTATCGTTTTATTTTTTATGGCATAATGCACACCTCTTTAAATGTAATCTAAACATTCAAAGTTAATACTGGCTGGTACTGTACAATAAAAAGTCAGCACACTTCAAGCAGTGCCATCACTGTAATATTTCACTGTTACAGTGGTCAGATAGCTGGAACATTATGATGAATAATTTGAGATTAAATGTCATAATGCTTTATTAGCCAATTATTGTAATATTACCACTGATTTATTTCATTATTTTGTATCTTTACAAGTTAAAATGTAACCATTCCATCTTTATTGAGCAATGGTGTCAAATGTCCCTTTGTGCCACATGGTGGTGAATTCAAGAACAAGTTTCACATGTGACTGTGTCCTCACGGCGGCGGTAATAGGCATTACTACCTACTGTAGTAACTAAATCAAGCAGTATGAAATGTCACCAATAAAATTTCAACCAGAGGACAAAAGGTCAGGTTGGTTATGACAAAAAAAGATACTGTAAACGTGAATGTCACTAACACAAACACTCAAATAATCCAGAGCATACAGCAGCAGACAGAAAACATTGTGCATTAAAGTGCATCATACCAATTCCATAAACATAAATCAAATTTTAACAGGTGAGTGTATAATTGATTAATTGATCCCTTTATGTGGCTTGTATAGTTTATTGCATCAGGAATGTATTATTATAGTTCTAAATTTATGATTTGGATTTTTTGTTATTGGAATGGTCTTGTGTTTTCCAGGTCAGTGCTTCCTCCTTGTTAGATTTATTTTTTTAAATGAAAAAAATAAGTGACCGTAAAGACAGAATGAAAATAAAAATAAATAAAAAAGTAAATTAAAGTAATGAAAAAAATATTTTTCTTACTTTTTTAATGCTTTTAATGTTTTTGCTTGTCACATTGTAAACATTTCCATTTCCATATCTAAAGCACAAAAACATCTACATATCTAAAGCATGAGATTGTGCATTTGTAAAATGTTTGATGTTTAATTTAAATGTGTTGGAAGTTATCAATTTATTTTAAATTAAATTTATATCTTGGTTTTTTTTTGTTTTTTTTTTCAGGTCTGTGGCTCTCTGTAGTCTGGGTATTTGGCTCTGTGAAGAGCTGGTTCATGGCACTCAGCATCCGCAGATCAAAGAAGCGCTCAATGTCATCTGTGTCACTCTCAAGGTAACAGATGCTTGGTTATACAACAAAATGTACATATATTCTGCTGTTAAAGATTGATTATAAACAGAATAGAAGCATCTGTGTTGTAAAAGAACCTTCACTGGCAATGTACTGTAAGTGAGCACAGCAGAGAAATGATGGCATTGCCCTTGGCCTGAGTCTTCTGAAGCCGTTCCTGATGCCTGGGCTCACTGCACTGGCACAAGTGTGTTCTGTTCATCCAGAAGAAGATTATTCCATACTCCCTGCACCCACCCCTACCAGCCTTCCTAAATCTGGACCGTCAACATGTTTGGCTTCTCTGCTTCTCACAGACAGAAGGCTAATCCACTGAAGAATGCACGCTTCAGAGACTTCGAGGAATTATTACATTTCTGTCTGAAATGAAGGCTAGGGCCAACAGACACACACACATACTCAAACTCTGGTCCAATCAGAAAAGTCTGTTTGTGATCGGGTCAATTCTATTGGCTTTTTGGAGAATCTGGTGTCAGTGGAGGGTTAGACATGAGGGGCTCTCTGTTGGGTGCGTTCCATGAAGCAGAATTAGGCAAAGACTCATCCCGTCTTAATCAGCTCAGATGAGGCCCACGACACAATTTTGCAGTTTTCCTCCACACATGTCTGAGCACATTAAAGTTGCTGATTGCCTCCATTTTAACCCCTAATACCTTCCTTCCAGTTCTCAAATAAAACTGTTGCCTTGGTGGCCTCTGACATTCTGCACCTGCTCATAAATTATGTGGACGAACTGCAGAAATTCCCACCAGACACTCCAAAGAAAATAGTGGAGGTAAAGTCAGTCACAGTGCAAGTAAGCTGAATTTTAAGTTGGTTTGGATTTGTTAAATAGATACTAATGTTAATTTCCTGCTTTGTAGGTCCTTATTGCAACCATCACTTACCTTCTTCCAGCCACAGAGTCTTCCCCTCATGAGTTGGATAAGAGGGTATGTACCCCAACACAATGAAAGAACACACTCGTGTACATGTGAAATAAATGCTTTTTTTCCAACCAGCAGCTCATAATGGTTTTTATTAAAGAGAAAGTACACCTAAAAACAGAACAGTTTGTCCTATCTACAGTAGATGCAACACATCAAGTAATTTTCCTGTTCTTACACTGTGTTTGCTACATTATAAGTCTTCTGAAGCAATTTGATGGGTTTGTGCGAGAAAGAGGCTGAAATTGTCATACCGGTTTTGGGTGACATGAGGGTGATGCTGAGTTTTCATTTTTGGGTGTACTGTTTCTTTAAATTGGTCACCAAATTGACTGACATATCATAAAGGTGTACACCTGAATATATATTTATATATATATATCAAAAGTGGCAGTAAAGACTTTGTTACCAAAAAATCTATTTGAAATTAATTATAAATAAATAAAAATGTACCAGTTTCATCAAAAATATTAAGCAGCACTGTTTTCAACACTGATAATAAGAAATGTTTCTTGAGCAGTAAATCAGCGTATTAGAATTATTTCTAGAATGATTTAGAAGGATCATGTGACACTTAACACTGGAGTAATGGCTGCTGAAAATTATTATTTTAATTATTATACAGGAATAAACTACAATTTTAAATATATCAAAATAGAAAGCATTTATTTTTTAATAATTTTGATAATAATTGTATTTATTTTACTTTATATCTTTCCAGCTGGTTGTGTCTCTGCTGCTGTGCTTGCTGGACTGGGTGATGGCTCTACCTCCAAAAACTCTCCTGCAGCCGGTCCAAAGAGCCTCAGACAATGAGAAAACTGACAAATCCGTCCTTAGCTGCATCTATAAAGTACGAGGCCAACACTCACATCTGCTATTAAACATATTTTTTATATCTCGATTTACATATTTTTTTATTTTTGTCTGTGAATGCGGTACATTCACACAGGGCTTTGGCGTTAATGCTTCTCATTTACTTTCAATGGGTGATGTCATGTGTTGCCGAACTGAATCGTGGGTCCGTCGGCGTCGCAACACTGGCGTTGCTCGCGGCAGAAATTGAAAATTTCTCAACTTTTCAAACGCCAATGGAGGCGTCAGCCAATCAGATCGCCTTATGCAAATAACCTAATTGCGGTCCAGTGTAATTGGCTGTTGTCACTATGACGATCGCGTCAGCGCCAAGCTTCAGACACACCCTCCGTCAAGCTTTGATGCCGATGCCCTGTGTGAATGTACCGTTACCCTGTGAAACAACTAAAGACATAAACAAGTGCACCCCACTCTTTATTTCTTTGTATTTCTAACCCATTTGTCCATCTGTCAGGTCCTCCATGGCTGTGTATATGGGGCTCAGAGCTTCAGCAACCCCAATTACTTCCCCATTCACCTGTCAGACTTGAGCAGCCCAGACTACGACCCCTTCCTGCTACTGGAGAACCTGAAGGAGCCAGAGCCGCTCCATTCACCTGAATCTGAACGCTCCTCTAAACTGCAGCCCGTCACTGAAGGTGAGCGCATGTCTTCTGCCTCTCTCTTGTACTTGTTTTGACCTCCTTTAAATCTCGTGTTTATGCATGTGATATTTTAGTCAAGTTCAGCACTTACTTTTGTCTTTCTCCAGTCTCTGTTTCCTACCTCTTGTCCTAACCTGTTGCAACATGACAAGTTTTGATAATCAAGTAATTTTTCTGTCCTCACATAAAGCCCTTGAGAATGAATTACTTTTTAATATGTAGATAGGCAAAGCACAATTTTGGACCAATGAGATGTCACTGTGGGTCTAAGTGACCTATAAATTCATTTGCCTTGTAACTTTATTACATAACAGCTTTTTACTTGCATTAACATAAAAGCTGAATTGATAATTTCTGACTGTTGCAGTAAAAAATAGAGCTTGTTGCACAGTGTTAACCACCACCCAGCCCATTTCTCCTATCTTTATCACCTTCTGTAGTTAAAACAAGCATACCATAAATCAGAAGAAGCAGGAATGAACTAGCTAAATGTCATCACCGAATCTGTTTGCTCCCTCATGCTAGTTTCAGTGTGTATCAGGGAGAGGGCGGGTTTGAGATTGACAGCAGGGGGCTGGTTTCCTGTGCTGCCGTTGCTGTGTCTCTCTCCATCAGCCGAAAATAACTAATCATTACAACCCTGAGTGAGACATGTGTCCACCACTTTCCTACCTCCATTACTCTTGAAATTACTCCTAGCGCTGGATTCTTGCTAGATCGGAGGGCACTCGGCGGCTGAGGGGGTCCGTACAGAAGACTGCTTCATCAGGATAAAATCCCTCACCCCCGAGAGCTCCGGTCTAAGAATGTTTTGGCTCATTAAGGCGGTGGAGAGTGTCGCTGAATGTGATTGGTGTGGTGTGTTGATTGGGGGGAGTGGGCCTCTGGCACGTCGAGTGCACTGGTATTGGGCTGCTCTCCGCATGGTTTCTTTGTGAGTTCTGGTAGTGTGTGAAGAAGGGGTGTCTCCATCGGGAGCTTCTTACCAGCATCGAGGCATCTGCACCTCTCCCCAGGCATCCTGCATTCTTCATCACACCCTAATGTCCCTGTATTCACACAAGCCGTCTGCACCTTCACTCATCTCAGCTCTGCAGGAGTTTAACACTGATAGATCTGAAAATCACTACATCCCTGATGAAACGAATGCCTAAACTCTATTCCTTTACTTGTTTCTAACACCTTTTCATCACTGCAGTCTCTCCACCTCTCACTTTCTGATTTTTGATTAAATTCTGCAGGATAGATTTGGGGATGGATCAACTGATTAGTGAGGTCGACTACTTAAATTTAAATGTAGTTTTGATTTTTTTTTTTTTTTTTTCATTTATTATTATTTTTTAAATTTTTTTGATATTTTATTTTATTTTTGATTTTGTTTTAATATGTTTAATGGTGGTTTAGTTAGTGTGGTAACAGTATCCTGTTAGTTTCCACAGTAAAACCCTCTCTAAAAAGCAGCATCTTTAAATTTGTTCACATTGAAACTCCACCACTGTGGTCATTCACATTCAGAAAAATAACTGGCCATTGCAATGTCTTGTGCTTTTTTTGTCAACTTAAAAACAGTCTTAAATAGTCCTAAAAATTTTACATTCTATTTTATATTATTTTTGCTCCATCAGTTAAATCCGCATGTAAAAATGCCAATTTCTGTAAGAAACATGGCTGATTATGCCAGATGACCCCAAACTAGCTTGAATATACAAGGCTTCCATAATACTGATTGGTCAATAAGATGTTCAGTCAAGTTGATTGTGAAATTGTGTAGTTTAGAACATCCCAAATAGATTTAAACTGAGCTTGAGAGTACTTTACTCTTGGTCAGATTAGCCAAAATACTTCAGAAATGAACACCCAAGTAGTAAGGGATATGTAGAACTTTATGAATGATGGGCACTATAGTTGTCTTTGAAAATCTCTTGAAATTTCTGCACATACAACTTCTTGTAAATACATCTTTGTATTTTTGTGTTTGTGTAGCGAGGAGCCGTATTCAGCAAGGCCTGATTTCAATTGCGGCACGCACGGTCATATCCCACCTGGTCAACCACCTGGGTCACTATCCGATGAGTGGTGGTCCGGCCACTCTGACCAGCCAGGTATGCGAGAACCAGGATAACCCATACAGCGAGAGCACAGACCTGACCCCTGAGCTTTTCGACGCACCCAACTTGCAGTTCTTCGTGCTCAATGGCACCACCCTGCTGTCCTATCTACAGATCCGGGCAGAAGACGGCTTGCCCGGTGGCGGGATGTCAGCTGGCCTCACCACCACCAGTGCCTGCGTTCGGGTGATCGTGAGGGACATTTCCGGAAAACACTCCTGGGACTCAGCTATACTGTATGGTCCACCTCAATGCATCACTCCCAGTCAAACTTCGCACCTCTACTCATCCTCTAATCAAGCAGGGGGTGGTAGCGAACGTGGCCGAGATGAGGACAGTCTAGAAAGAGGCGGTCAAGAAGAACCAGAGGATGAAGCTTTTCAGGAGAATGAAGAGGACCTGGATGAGGAAGAGGTGAAAGAAGACGGGGAGGAGGAAGAACTTGAGGAAGTGGACGAAGAGGAAGAGGCAGGGCTGGAACTGATGGCCCCACAGGCCAAACGGCAGTGCAGAGAGGTGATCCCAAGCTGGGACTCCCTGCAGGATGGGGAGGACGCCCTGGATGAGATGCTGCAGTACCTGGGATACTCCAGCCCAGAGTGCCTGCAACGTACTGGCGCACCGCTCAACATTCCAGCCCCGCCGCCCACCTGCGTGTCTGAGAAGCAAGAGAACGATGTCATCAACGCCATCCTGAAGCAGTGTGACGAAGAGCGGGATTTTGCACTCTATCGTGGGAATGACCTGAACATGAGGGCCGTAGTGCAGCAAGAGCCAAGCCCACAGAGACCCCAGTTGGCCTTCTACTACTGCAAACTTCTCCTCAACATACTGGGCATGAACTCCTGGGAAAAGAGGTAGGTAGCTAATCACCTCTTGAACACACATTGCAGTTGCAAATGCCTGGTAATCCTATAGGGCAGGTTTTCTTTTTTAAACCTGTCTTGGAGGCCCCCCAGCACTACATTTTGTTGGTCTACCTTATCGAACACATCCAATTCAGGTCTTACAGTCTCTCTATTAATGAGCTGATGACTTGAATAATGTGTGACAGATGAGGCAGGCATACAAAATATACATTGCCGAGGGGCTTCCAGGACAGGTTTAAAAACCCTTGTTATAGAATATTCACAAGTACAAATCCTATTTATAACAAACTTTTTTGGGATGGTGTACCAGCCCAACATGTCTCCCTTATATGAGCCATCAATTTCAGGTTTCTTGGAGTCTCTACTAATGAGCTCAGTTGATTCAGGCATGTCTGATTAGGAAGAGATTGAAAATGTGAAGAATTGGGGTGTAGGGCTGCACGATTAATCGAATGCGATTGTCATGCGCATTTTGTTAAAAAAGACGGTTCTGTAATCAGCAGGAAATCATCATCACGTGCTTTCAGACGATTTTATTGCGCGATTATGAAATCGAAGAAATCATTCCCGATAATGACAGCTGTTTGCATAGCTTCTCAGTGAACTACGGCTCTGTGAAGTAAATGCTGCTCCATCTGAAAGCATGTGAAAATACCACATTTAATAACATATTTTTACTCCAAACTCACTTCATAACGTCAGTCGAGTGTTTGAAATAAATCCTTCTGTGAGATGATGTGGCTTCTTACACAGAATAAGGCCGCAACATATTTCATAGTATTCTAAGCAGTGATAAAGGCATTGCATTATAAATATACTTTATTTTAATGAAAATGATAATGATAATAATAAGAACTCAGATAAACCTTAAAAATATATTGCCGTAGTCGTGTGTTTATTAGTCACGTTGAATCAGTGAAAGCAGTTGAATCTTCTGTTTATTCAGCTGCAGCGATAGGCATTTTCTGGGTTTCTTCTGCGAGGCTGAGATGATGTGGCTTCTTACACAGAATAAGGCCGCAACATATTTCATAGTATTCTAAGCAGTGATAAAGGCATTGCATTATAAATATACTTTATTTTAATGAAAATGATAATGATAATAATAAGAACTCAGATAAACCTTAAAAATATATTGCCGTAGTCGTGTGTTTATTAGTCACGTTGAATCAGTGAAAGCAGTTGAATCTTCTGTTTATTCAGCTGCAGCGACAGGCGTATTTGGAGTTTCAGCGCGAGAGCGCCCTCTGGCCTTTGGATGGAGATTTACTGCTGATCACAGAACCTTGCTTCACTGAAAGATACGCATGACAATCGCAGCTTCTGTCGAATCGCTTTCTCGATTCCATTTCGATTTATCGTGCAGCCCTATTGGGGTGCCTCCAGGAACTTGTTGGGAAACCCTGGTGTATCCTACTGGTTACAGGTTTGGGATGATACCTAAAAATTTGCAATATCGAACATCTATAGGAGCAATCCTTCAAAAAAACAAATGTCCTAATAGCAGGCATCATAATGGCCGATGTGGTTTCCTCATGCTAGAGTTGCTATTTTTTCCAGGATTTACAAAAATCAAAAGAAAATTTCCCAAGATGTTTGTAAGAATGCAATTCTAATACTTTAAGAACATCTTCTGCAGGCTTTTTGCGCTCTCTGCAGATTACTGTAATAATCAGTATAAGTGTGCACACTACTTGTGTTACAACTGACTTGACGGGAGTTCAGCACTCCAAGTCACAATTTTTAATGCTCTGTCTATTTTAATTTTTTTTTTTTTTAAGTCTTGTCTCAAGAATCGGTCATCGCAGGTATTCATGTACAATACCCAAAGTCATTCGCTTCATCTTGTCCACCGTTTTAGTTAACATTGAGTCTTTTGGGCAGTTTATTACTAATAACAAACAAATTCCACTGACCACGATTCTGCCGATTCTGTCTTTATCTTAGCTTTGTTTAACTGCCATATCAGATAGTTTAATCCTTTGGTCTGGGAATTAAGTGTTCAGCAACACTTCATCAAATCATCCTGCCATTTTTTCCCAAAAGAATCACTACATTGTTTTGCTAGAGTTTGTTAGCACAATCTGGGTGATGCTGTTGTTGAAGGCCGATAATGCATGTAAACATCCTGTTTGCTCACACCTCTCCCTGATTGCGCAGAGCCACATTAATCTGCTTTAAACAGTCAACAGCTTTCTGATTAGCTTATCCACCAATAGACACTACAGTGCTGCTCACTTGCTGCCCAAACCTCAGTTTCCGTCCCCCTCCAAAATGCCTAATGGTTCTTCTCATTGCATTTGACTGTAAGGGTTCAATCCCATTCCATTTTGTGGTATTACAGAGAATGGTTAAATATTTTGCTCTCCAGGCATTCATGTATCATTTATCCGTGGTCAGAGACTAAGGCATTGCAATCCGCCAGGCCATTGTGTGTGTGAGCTCGCACCTAATGTCGGCCTTTTATGCCGTTCGCGCATTCGCCTCCTGAAATGGCTCACTTTCAATGGAGAAAATGAAGACCATTACATTGTAACAAGCTAATAAAGAGACCCCTGCTCAAAGAAAAGGAGTTTTCCACATGACTCACGCGGCCACTTGGAGGGAGCGAAAGATAAAGAAGGGGAGAGGGAGAAAGTAACTGAACTCTGAACTATAAAAGTTGCAGACGGAAAGAAGTCGCATTATCTTAGATTTACAAGTTTTTGTTTTTTTCTTTTCATGACATCATGTGTAAGTTTTTGTTTTATGGCTCATCGTGTCATAAGATGGTTTTCAGCGCAGGATCTTACATTGTTTGCTTTCATTTGCGTTTCTGTTGCGGGGTCAGATTTTCCGTGAGTCTGTGAGAAAAACAAGGAAGATGGTAATTAAGCAGGCGGCCACTTAATGAAAGCGATCTAATGCAGTCTAGAACAGCGCTTCTCCAAATAGGGTTTGTGAACCATAGCTAAAACTATCTATCTATCTATCTATCTATCTATCTATCTGTTGTTTTTTCCATTGTCTGTCAATTCTTCTGTCTGTCATTATATCTATCTATCTAGAAATCTTTCTTTTTTCATTACATGGATGTTGTTCTTGATCGCCTGTCTGTGTGTAAGCTAATTAACCTGATCAAAGATGCGTCATCTGGTGGAATATTTCTCTTCATTAGATTTTATGTTTAAATGTCCTGTCTCCAGGAACAGTTTCCACCTGCTGAAGAAGAACGGAAAACTACTGAGAGAACTGAAGAATCTGGATTCAAGGCAGTGGTATGTTATGCCACTTTTTATCCAGTATTGTTTCTTTTAAAGCTATTAGGAAAGGTCTTTTAAGAGTAAACGGGAAAAAAATAAAGCATTTACCTGTCTGTGAGACAACGTGATAAAAGTGTACGCTCGTTTTGCTCCTAAATTTACTTTCTTCTCTATTTACGTTTTTCAGTCGTGAAACACACAAGATTGCTGTGTTTTACGTGGCAGAGGGACAGGAAGACAAGCACTCGATACTGTCCAACACAGCCGGGAGTCAGGCCTATGAAGACTTTGTCTCAGGCCTGGGGTGGGAGGTAAAATCTTGATAATTAATTGCTGGGAGGCAATTCATTAATAAATGTTGTGTGTGCAATATTTTATATGATATTAATGCATGGGCCCTGACAAACTCTTTCCTCAATGTTCAGGTGAACTTAACGAGTCATTGTAGTTTCATGGGCGGCCTGCAGCGGAACAAGAGCACGGGTTTGACCATGCCCTACTTCGCCACCTCTACAGTTGAAGTCATGTTCCACGTCTCCACACGCATGCCTCCGGACTCAGACGACTCGCTCACTAAAAAGGTAAACTTGTAGAAGACTGCATTTTGAAGTCAACTTACGATTTTAGTCAGGTTACATGACCAATTTCTACCAGTGTTACTTTAGTATTTTATAGATACTATTTTAGTATTTATTAGTATTTTGAATTAGCTTTTGTTTTTAAATTGTCAGGTTTCATTCTAATGTTAGTTAAAGTTTTAGTAATTTTGTTATGTGCTTATGCCATTTTAATTAGTAGTTTTTTTTAATATTTCTATATAGTTTTGATTTATTTTTATTTCAGTTATTAGTAAATCATCACCTTTTTCAGTTAGTTGCCAAGGCAACATTTTGAAGTTTAGCTTTTTTCATCTCATATTTTTAATTTCAGCTTGATTTCAATTAATGAAAATAATTTGTTTTTAGTTTTAATTAACAATAGCAAAACTGATTTTAACCACATATCTGATCCTTAGAATTAAAAAAAAGACTGCTTTTGCTGTACTTTATGTAAATAACCTCTGCATTCTGTATAACTTACTCTCTTCTGCTAAACACGAAGAAGGTATTTCTGAAGAGTGTTTCACCTATATGTGAACACATATCTGCATAGTACACTGGTCTCAAAAGAACAAGGAGAAATCTTGTTTTCCATCACTCAAAAGCTGTTGACTCTCTAAAGACTTAAACTTTCCCCCTGCCAGCTCACCTGTGGAAGACCTTTTAGATTGTAGTCTGTGTCATTTCTTTCATAGCTCTTCTGTCTCGAGTTTTCTCCAGCGGTGCAGCTCTGCTCCTCCTGTGCGGTGGGTGAAGTGGAACACAGAACCTTTGTGACCTGTGCGTTCACACCTCATCATTAAACCTAACCCAGGCTAATCTGAGGAGTGGGACACTTATACCTGCCGAGAGCTGAGCTTTTGTGTTTCTGGGTTCCTTGTAGAGAGAAAAGGTCCTCTCTGCTGTCAGAACATAGAAAAGTAGAAAGTAATGACTCCTAACAGCTGTACTTTATTCTCTCGTTCTGCCTCTCCCACTGGCTTTTATCTCGTCTCTCTTTTATTTAAAGAGGGATGTCGCACCCTTTCTTTTTTCACTTTTCTTGCAGTCGATGTGACCTTGTGGAGAAACATCACTCTCTAGTTTTGCTCTTTCTTCAAGGGTGTTTCTTCACCTATGGGCACTTTTTTGCCCTGTGGACTTTTATAAATTAAACTCTCTTTAAATGCACTTTTTACATTCTAGCTAGTTTATTTTTTTGTCTACTAATAATATCCAACAGTGGATATACATCTCAAAAGATGTTGTGTTTAATAGCATTCTATGGTGGAGATGAGGATGGCAAAAAAAAGACTCCTTTGTCTTTGCTAAGGCTAATAATTTCATTGCTAACATTTTATGTATGCCAAATATACGCAATACATATTTTTATATTTTTTATTGCATAAATTGACACAATTAGATTTTTATTGGAAAATGTTTTGTTCTATTTACTTTTTTCTTCACATATCCCGCTTTTTTCCCAATGACAATTTAGTTTCATGGTAAACAAGTGCGTTAACGTTTAAAAACAAAAATGTGGCAATTTGTATTATAATTATTGGCAAAATTGTTCATTTTGATTGTAATCAGACAACTGAAGTACAGTTTGTTTTTAAGATCATCATAGATTTAAAAAAAATGCTAATATTTTTATTGTGGATTTTCATATTGTAAGATTGTAGTTCTGGGTCTGGGACAAAGGTAAGCAATAAAAACTAGTAGCTAAAAATGTAAAAAAAAATAAAGGCATGGTAAAAAGTTGCCAAGTCTGTTTTAATGTGACATTCATATAACAAAAAGAACAATGTTACAAGCTGTTAGTTTTAATAAAAATCAACCCCTGGGACATTAAAGTGTCCGTACTTGAAGAAACACCCGCAAATGTCTGTCTGCATGGGTATTTTTTCCGTTCACATGGGCAGCACAAATCTAATAATGTGCAGCATTATCCTTAATGAGCTTGGCTGAAAGGCTGTGATATGGGGCTGTTTGTGGAGCGGCCAGCCCCATGCCAAATGACCAATCGCTTGTCATTAGTGCTGTCCCCTCACTTCCTCACTCATACGTCTTCTGGGGCAGAGATGAGGCGATAAGATACTAATGCGCCCAAAAGACTTCTTAATGAATGTAGATAGAAATGTGATATTGCTGCGAGGGTCAGTGGGGAGGGAGGGAGGGCTACAGTGGACCGAACGTAAGAGGGACGTTTCATGGGGCGTTTATTCGGTGGTAAAGGGGGTCTCTAATTAGATTACCACGTTTAGTCTGAAATGGTCTCGCCTACAGCTTATTGTGTCTTCTCTGTTTTTATGAGCTGGGCAGGTATGCTGAAAGGGGGGTTGTGGGATATTGTCGGGAAGATGTTGGACTGTAATTGGCTTTAAGCAGAAGGATGACAAGATGTAAGGTCCGTTTTCATGGCCCACTGTTTTTAAACCGATGTTTGTCCCTGTTGAGAGAAATGGAGGATGATGAATAACATGCACATTAAAGTCAGCATGAAGTCATTTTCCCATTTCAAAACACACTACCATTCAAAAAATCTGGGGTCAGTAATATAATGTTTTTTAAGTTATTATACTCACCAATCCTGCATTTATCTAATCAAAAATACAGTAAAAAGTAATTTAGTGAATTATTACAATTTCAAATAACTGTTTTCTGTTTTAAAATATAATTTATTTCTGTGATGCAAAGCTGAATTTTCCAATACTCCAGTCTTTAGTATCGTATGATCCTTCAGAAATCAATTCTAATGTGCTGATTGTAATTTTGTGCATTTCTTATTATCAGTTGAAAACGGTTGTGTTGCCTAATATTTTTGTGGATTTTTTTTTTCAGGATTCTTTGAAATATAGAAAGTTCAAAACAACAGCATTTATTGGAATTTTTTTAACAGTATAAATGTAAATTTACTGTTGCTTTTAATCAATTTAATGCATCCTTGCTGAATAAAAGTATAAAAAAAAATTTTTTTTAAATCTTGCTGACCCCAAACCTCTGAACAGTAGAGTAGCAAAAACTGTTAAAGGGTTAAAGTAATTTGAAATATTACATTTATACATGGGTTCTTAGGAGAAAAATAAAATGCAGAACTGTAGAAACATGTATCTTTTTAACACTGTAAAATCCTGGATTTATGCATTCATTACCTTCTATAATTCAGACATTTCTTTCCTCCATGTTTTTTTGTCATTGAGGTGACTGAGCACATCTTGCAATAAAAAATCTAATGCAGATCTATATCTTCTTATCACAATGAGGACAGGCCGTTTTGAGTTTCTACCACAATGATGCCATGATCTGTAGCATGGGCTGCCAATCGAATGTGGCATTTCTCAGAATGATATTACATGATTAAACAAAGTTGGCCGAGAGATGAAAGAAAATCTCTGTCCAGACCACCTTATCGTCCAATAAAACTCCAATCATTTTGTCACACGGACACACACCCTGGAACGAAATAGCAGTCCCTGATCTGCGGCAGTGCAGCTGAAGGCTGGATGTAATTCATGGCTGTAATTTGAGGACGAGGCGTGCGGTGAAGTGAGGTTTGGGGCGGTGAAGGGGTTTTGGACTGCCGTCCCTGCCCTGCAGGGGAGCTGAGGAGACCTCCACGCCACGCACGGCTGTATTCCACCCAAATTAGATTGGGTCCGTCCCTGTGCTGCATCGCCTATCATGACTCCTCAGAGGCAAATTGGATTTACAAGGGCTGCTGGAGAGGCTATCCAGAGCACGATCTTCCGATAGCAACTCTAAACCATGTTAATTAGACACTAAAGCGTGTCAGCGCGGCCGCTGGTGCCACGGCGCACACACATTTATTTTTCTGGGTTTTTGTTTTTTTGGTCTCATGGCTGCCATTTTCTGCACTGTTTATCGTCTAACATGCTCTCTGAAGGATTCAGAAAAAAAATTTCCACACTTGGCAATTGCAAGTGAATTGAGAAAATGTATCAGTCGAAATTGTTACTTACAGTCCATGAAAATGTTAATGTATTATTCTAAAATCTATTATTTAATAATAATAATATTAAATAACTATTCTAAATAGTTAAGAAATGGTTTTTATTATAATATATATATTTTTATATTGTATATTTGTTGTCCTTATGGCATTAATGTAATTTGAGAGAATTTAGTAGCCATAAAGGTTTCTCAGTCCACATATATTTATATATATATATATATATATATATATATACATACATTTACTTTTACTATACTTGCCAAGTGAATTGAGAAAATTGGACATAAATGTTTGTTATAGTCCATGAAAATAAATTATTACATATTATTACATTTTGTATTAAATATATCATTTAATAAATATATTTATACAACAGTTCGTTCTGGTTCTCAAATCTGATTGGTTGAGAACCGTGAGATATTGTACTGGTATCGCTACAGGAACGCCCTTTCACAATTTTGTATCACTCCGCTTGTTCTAGCCGGGTCTATGTTTTTTTTTTATTATTCACTTTTTATTGTTTCTTGTTTAATTACACACATGTTCCGGCGAACTGTTGTATAAACGCAATATCACTCTCGTACTCGAGTGATATTGCTCATATAACTATTATAATTTTAAATGGCTATTATAATTTTTATATATTTTTTACATTTATATATTTATGTTATTTATATATTATTATTAATTTATTATTTTATAGTATCTCATGGCAATTAATGAGTTTGCTGCTTTGGTATTTTTTGTAGCATCATATAAAACTAGTCTCTACTATATGCATTTGATGGTCAGAGAGTGTTAATTTTGTACCTGTTCACCTTAAGAGTAACAGCCTTTCTACGATCTGTGCTGATTTAAATAACTTGAGCCAAAGGAATGATGTCCAAAGGACAGAGTTTGTCATTGGTTGCATAAAGGTTGAGGCAGTCGCTCGGGACAGTTGATGGGTCGCTGCGCCCATGGCCTTGGCAGTGATTGAGCGGGTCCTGGGAAGATGGAGTGATTGGTGGAAGATAGATGAGAGGAGGAGAGACGGGACCGAGTGTCCGTTCTCTCAACTGTCACAGCGCAAGGTTAATAACACTGTAGTGGATATCGCTGGACCATGGCAACGTGTAGTCGAGATTCAATTCAAACCAGTTACATTTTTGCTTTTGTTTTAGAAAACGTGACGGTCATAAAATATGAACAACACGCAAGCTCAAGGCTTCTTGCAGAGTAAACAATGCATACAAGTGTATTATGGATGTGAACCCCACAACGAAAGTGAGGTATCACCATTCAGCCTTAGGATACTATAGAGGAACCATATCTTTAAAAAGTATACTTTAAATCTGTTTGGACAAAAGCGTAATCTAAATGACATATTTTATGTATTCTCTCTCTCTCTCTCTCCATACAGTTAAGGCACCTGGGTAATGATGAAGTGCATATCGTGTGGTCCGAGCACTCGCGGGACTACCGGAGAGGCATCATTCCTACTGAGTTTGGAGACGTGCTCATCATCATCTACCCCATGAAGAACCACATGTACAGCATCCAGATCATCAAAAAACCTGAGGTGAGCTCAACGCTGAACCCATCTCAGACGAACCAATAAGGACTGTCTTTTAATTATTTCTGATTTCGGTCTATAACTAGAAATGTCACAAACAAATATTTTTTTTTAATTAAACAATTTTTGAATCTTTTTAATGTATTCAAATAGATTTGTAAAACATATTTAAAGCACCTGACTCATTCATTTGGGAGTAAAAGTGCGGGATGGGATGACATGTTGAAGTATACACTACTGTTAAAAAATTTAGGGCCAATAAGATTTTTTTTTTTAAAGAATGAATATTATTATTCAACAAGGAGCCATTTAATAATTCTAAACAGTTATAAAAAAAATAATGATTAAAAAATCTATTTCAAATAAAAGCTGTTTTTTTTACTTTCTATTCATCAAAGAATTCTGAACATAGAAATGTGTCAGTTTCCACAACATTTTGAACAGCACAACTGTTTTCAACATTGATTATAGTAAGAAATGTTTCTTGAGCAGCAAATCGGCATATTAGAATGATTTCTGAAGGATAATGTGACACTGAAGACTGGAGTAATGATGCTGAAAATTCAGCTTTGCATCACAGGAATAAATTAAATTTTAAAATATATTAAAATAAGAAAGAATTGTTTTAAATTGTAATAATATTTCACAATATTTTTTTTTTTACTGTATTTTTGATCAAATACAAACAACCTTGATGATCATAAGAGACTTCTTTCAAAAATATTGCACAATTTTCTGACCCCAGAATTTTGAACGGTAGTGTAAAACCCTAATAATGAACAGCATTATATAAATAAATATTTATTTTATTACCAAAAGAACATGTGACATGTGACCCAATTGAAGCAAATTGTCTGAACGGGCCTGTAGGCTAAATGCATTCAAATTCCCCGAAAGCCTTGTCCATACTTTGAGGGAGGAAAACAATTTGAATGGCCGCTGAACAGAGAGATCGGTATACAGCAAAGCAGAGATGTTTGTTAGTGCATCACACCCGTTTGTTTTTCTGTAAACGAGCTCGATGCTTTGTACAGGAGACAGTGGAAGCATATCTGTCTTTGGGCACTACCAATCATTGCTTCCTGCTCAGTTATGTCAGGGCTAATTGAATGAATGGGATTCTCAGAATTTAATTCCGCTGTGGAGATGGATCCGAGACGAGAGGCTCAGTCTTTCATGCAGTCTGAGGAAATGTAGAAAGATGGAGAGATAAAGAAAGACGAGGCCTGGCTTTTATGAAAGTCCATTTAGACCCCATTTCAGTGCACGAGGGCTATTCACTGTATCTTTTCTGCTTAATGTCAGATTTTTTTTATGTAACAGACTGAAATACGTCGGAGGTTTTGACATTTCCATGCCTCCTTTTATTTGAAGGATAAAGCTGCTAGCTTATATGGTGTGCTATAAATAATATATATCAATAAAATGATTGGTATCTGAAAAAATTAAAATACATTACCATTCTAGAGTTTGGGGTCAGTAAGTTTGTTATTTTTGAAGAAATTAATACTTTTATTCTGCAAAGACACATTCAATTTATTAAAGTACAAATAAAGACCTTTATAATGTTACAAAAAAATTCTGTCAAATAAATGTTCTTTTAAACTTTCTGTTCATCAATGAATCAATGAAAAAAAAAAATTTCTTGAGCAGAAAATCAACATATTAGAATGATTTCTGAAGGATCATGTGACACTGCAGACTGGAGTAATGATGCTGAAAATTCAGCTTTGCATCACAGGAATAAATTACATTTTAAAATATATTACAATAGAAAACAGGTCTTTTAAATTGTAGTAATATTTCACAATATTACAGTTTTTTTTTTTTTTTGTAATTTTGATCCAATAAATGCAGACTTCGTTAAAAAACATATCCTACAGACCCCAAGCTTAACTAATAAAGTACTATATCAAATAAAATGGATAAGATTAAAAAAAGATGGACCATCACAATACAATATTTCAGACTCGATGTGAAGGAGTTTATAGATATTCATGGTTTCATTTTATAATCTTGTCATGCACATTTTTCATGCTGAAAATGTGAACGTATGGGAGTGTGAATAGGCCTTAATACTGATTGAAATGTGTGTTTTGTTCCTGCTTGAAGCTTCTCACATTTTGCTCTTCACAGGCCATTAAGTGTTCATATATCATGTCATCTCACTTTCCACAGGTGCCATTTTTCGGTCCCTTGTTTGATGGAGCCATAGTGGATGGAAATATCTTACCCACAGTGGTGCGAGCCACGGCCATCAACGCCAGCAGAGCTCTGAAATCCCTCATCCCTCTCTACCAAAATTTGTATCCTTTTCCTAGACTTTAACGAGTGCACGTGTGATTTTGTCATGTTTAAGGTGGCAGAAGCCTATTATCATTGTTACAGCCTGCTTGGTTGGTCTTCTGCTCTCTCCTGCTGCCGTACAGACCTGGCTCACGTATGTATGGAGTGACTTGAGAGCGGTCCGGTTGGTTCTGACGGGAGCAGGTAGAGCCGCTCGATAATTATTGATGTCTTATTTCTCAGCTCTGCACATGTAGAGCACCGCTCTCTGCTCACCCAGTCAGGCGGGTGATAGAATCATTCTGATCACTCCTCAGTGCCTACTTACCTGCCTGCACAGACATTTGCTTTTGAAGTGCTTCTTTGGCAATTTGGTGTTCTTTTCTGTCTCTTTTCTCTGTTATACGATCTGAACCTCCGTTGTTGTACTTATCTTATTTTTTGGGTCCACTTTTCAGTTCTTATTATACAAACACAACATGCATTGTCTCTAAAAATAAGCTTAAAAAGTAGTAGTTTAGCTTGTTTACCTTTTCAGAATTATTAGGGCTTTCAAAGTTAATGTCGAAAAATTTAAAGGAAATCAGTTTTATAAATCAAACCTATATGGAACAATCATATGCACTACCGTTTTTGAAAGAAGACTTTTAAGTGCACAAAGACTGCAATTTGATCAAAAATACAATAAAAAGAGTAATATCGTGAAATATTATTACATAACTATTATTACATACATATAACTTTTATATTGTGATATATTGTAAAATGTAATTTTCACAAGCATTTCTTCAGTGTCACATGACCCTTCAATTATTTGAGTATGTTGATTTGGTGCTAAAGAAACATTTCTTATAAAAAAAAAGTTTTCATGATTTTCAGGATGTATATAGTATTTTTTTTAACAAATAGAACAATATACATTTCTTTTACTGTCAATTTTGATTAAGATAATGCATCTTTGCTAACAAAAGTATTATTAAAAATCTTACTGACCCCAACTTTTTGAACAGTAAAGTTAATTATTAAGTATAACTTCATTTTCATTGACTTGATCATGCTTTCTTGGAAATCTGTGGTTTCTATTTTGATTTCATTTCTCATCTTATTCTGATCATTTTTAACACCGCATTAAATTATTAGATTAATTGCAATTTCTAAATCGAAATAAATTGACAGCCCTAATAATTAGTGGTGCTTGCCAAGATTATTAGTAGAGCCCGACCGATATATCGTTTTGGCGATTTTATCGGCCGATATGAGCCTGTCGCAGATATATTGGTATCGGCGTATATGCCACCGATATAAAAAATTGTTTTTTACAGAACATAAAACACAGATAAAATGCTTGTAAATGGTGTAATTACGTTTGATTACGTTTGTCCAGCAGAGTGCACTCCGTTGTTTGCTACTGGCAACCTGGATAAAATGCTTTAAAGCTTAAATGTAAGGAATAGGCTACCATTGAAAATTTGAACGGCCATATCTCCGAAACAGCGCGGCGGATCCGCACCAAATTCGGGGGTTCCCTTCAGCTCGAGAAGCCCTCTCGAATGGGCAGTTTCGGCTTTACGGGCAGTTAAAGGGTTAGTTCACCCAAAAATGAAACTTCTGTCATTAATTACTCACCCTCATGTAGTTTCAAACCTGTAAGACCTTCGTTCAGCTTAGGAACACAAAGTAAGATATTTTTGATGGAATCTGAGAGCCGTAGGAAACAGATCCGGCGTGACGCAGCTGACACAGAACAGCATACTGCCATGTCCAGTTCGAAGGGAATGTACATGTTACATTCAAAGGGCATTAAAGTGGGCAAGACGTGAATTTAAATAGTATTTATTTACAGAGTTATATAATGTCACACTTCTAAGTTTCGTCTGTTTGTGAAGACAGTGGCATAGTGCAAATCCGTAAATGAATGTTCCGAAGTGAAATAAACTTAAACGGAATAAAGTTTAATGGAATTGTATTGAAATAAAGTTGAATAAACTTCAACTTTACTGTTTAGTGCACTGATGTCAGACTCATTTTGGATAATAAAGTTTATTGTTAAATTGTTAAATGCCCTGCCTCCATCATTACATACAGTGGGTACGGAAAGTATTCAGACCCCCTTCAATTTTTCACTCTTTGTTATATTGCAACCATTTGCTAAAATCATTTAAGTTAATTTTTTTTCCTCATTAATGTACACACAGCACCCCATATTGACAGAAAAACACAGAATTGTTGACATTTTTGCAGATTTGCCTCCATTACATATCTTTGTCACGTCATTATAAGTGTTTCATCACCACATTTGAGTGATCATTGCCAAAAATGTGCTTATGTGTATACATATTCCGTTTATGTGTATACTGCATTCTATATATAGTCCCAGTCAAAAGTTTGTACACACGAATGGGAAAGTGTCCAAACTTTTGACTGGTACTGTACTATAATAGACACATAAAGAATATCGTCAGATATATCGATATATATATATATATATTGATATATATTTTTTGCTCCCTAATATCGGTATCGGCATTGGCCCTCAAAAAACCCATATAGGTGGGGGTTTAATTATTAAAATTTCTCATGTTTTAGGGTTAGTGATTTGAACCTTTAGTATTAAACTTCGGCTGTTGCTTTAAGTGACTGGACTGGAAAGTGGGAAAAATCCCATAGTTTTACATTGAAGGATGAACCTGAACCATATCTAGAGAACAGAATATCATTGATGGTTAACTCTTTTGACCCTCAAAGTAGCATAATTTTTATAAGAAACGAGTGATTAAAAAAAAAAAAAAAGGTTTAAGGCCTTCGGTCTGAATGAGACAGCCTGGATTTGAACTTTTAAGCAATCAACCGCCCATCATGATTTTTGCATGGTCAAGTGCCACTATAAAAATCTAGTTTCTTTTACTTTGACAATCTGCTTTGTTTTGTCGAAAAACAGTTATTGCTAAATGATTACAGCCACTGTATGCTTTAGATAGTGTTCAGTATCCAGACATTTCCAAGTCCAAATCCAGCCTCTCTGTGTCGTTGGCACCAAAGACCTTTAACCTTTCTTTAAGAGCGCTCTTTTCTTCTCATAGAGATGCTACTTCCAGAAAACAAAGCGAAGTCTGAGAGGAGGGGAAAAAAGAGCGAGAGAAAAGGGGGGGAAAGTGATTCTCATCTGCCATGTCCTCCGAGCCAGAGAGATTGTTTGGCTCAGCTTGAGTCTTTCGCTCGCAGCAATCTCGCCCATCTGTGTGCCTGCGCGGAGCTCGATAGTGGACTGAGCTATTGATTGGCGTGAGCCGCACAGGTCGATGCTCCTGACAGCCTGAATTACAGTAATCTGTCATTATCGACGGATGTCTCCCCAAACCTTTTCTCTCTCTCTGTCTTTCTCTATTCTCTCTTTTGGTCTGTTTTTCTTTCAGTCTGATTCCCTTTATTTTGAAACTGTCCCTCCCTCTTTTTTTCTCTTTCTTTGAGCACCCTCGCACCTTCTTTTTATTCTGTCATGTGCGAATAATTGATGACTGTGAGGGATGGATGGCAGGCTAGTAGTGATTAGAAGATCTATGTGCCAGATGAGCTGCTCTCCTATGATGAAATCGGGCCGTAAGACTGAGAGGACCCCAGAGATGTGAGGAAGGAAGTCACAGTATCTCCTGCTTACCTGTTGATGGTGTCACCACATGCAGTCATTGCCGAGAGAGAGAAAGTTATGTAACTTAATTGTCCCTTTAACGTCCTTGTATCTCTGAATCAATCACTAACAGGTGGTGTGGTGTAGTAGTTAAATTGCAGAGCTGGGAAAAGTTGCTGGTTCATAAAAGAAAAATCGATAATTTTGACCCATACAATGTTTTTTTGGCATAAAAGAAAAATCGATAATTTTGACCCATACAATGTTTTTTTGGCTATTGCTAAAAATATACCCCAGCGACTTAAGACTGGTTTTGTGGTCCAGGGTCACATGTATTATAAGATATCTAGAATTTTAGGGCTGGGTATTGATCGAGTTTTCCAGATTTGATTCAACAAGCTCTCAGTTTGATTCAGTTTGGTTAAATTATGATTAATTTCAGTATATTTTAGTAATTATTTTTTGTTAGAATTGCTTACTTATGAAAGTTTTTTTTTTTCTGCTAATTTAGTAAAATGTACAACACATTATGAATTACATTATTTTTTTTGGTGGGGGGCGTTACATTGGTCACTTTTTTTTTTAATTCAGTGAAAAAAAAGCTCATAAGACTCACATGTTTTGGGATTTAGTCTACAATAATTGTGCTGTATTTTTTTGATTCACTTAAAGAACCATTTCATAAGAGTCATTTGCTCATGAATTGTGCTACATTGCCAGTTCTGTATGTTTTCTGTATGTCTCATAAGAGTGATTCATCTCAGGATTCAGGCTATGCTGTTCACACTGAGAGTCATTTGTTCATGAATTATGCTACATTGATCATGCTGTATGTTTTTTATCCACTAAAAGAACCGTCTCATAAGACTCTGTCGTTTTGGATTTCGACTACACTGGTCATACGGGATGTTTTTGGTTCACTGAAAGACCTGACTCATAAGTCATTTCTGGATTCAGTTTACACTGTTCGCACTATATAATGTATGGTATTTAAGTCACTAAAAGAACCAGGCTACACTGGTCGCACTTTATGTTTTTGATTCACTAAACGAATCGAATCATAAAGAGTCATTTATTTGGAGAATTGGACTGCACTGGTTGCATTGTTAGTCAATCACATTGTTTGGGTTGATTTGTGTAATTTGAAAGAAGTGGAAGTAGTTAAGATAAGTACACATGGAAAGAATACATTGGCTTTTAAGTCTCTTTTCATCCATATAATCAAGCTTATTTTCTTTCACCTGAATTGCGTTGCACGCTGAGCCTCAGTTTGCCACCTTCAGTTTCACAGAAAAACAAAATTAGATTTTGTCTGGATACACGTCAGGTGCTGTTCTTGCTGAAGAGGTCCACGTTTAGAAATGTTTAAATGATGCACCAGCTGACGCATGATCA